TCGTACCTGTAGTTTGAACTTGACCATCAAGAATGATGGAATGTAGCCATGAATCATAGAGATGTGAATCAACAATCATGTGGCTACTCCTAGATACTCTGCAACAAACGTAGTGCAAAGTTGGCTAGGTTTGTACTTCCCAGTCAAAATGACCCGAACAAAATCAGTTCTCTACTCACTGAGGTATACCAGAACGTGGGATATTTTATAACCGCGGAACCACTGATCCATCAGAAGTACATGAATAGGTTTTTCATATCAACAATTATAGGAATATGATAGGGATCTACTATTATCAACAATTATGATAGGAATACTATAGGAATTAATTGATGTCATAGGAATATGATAGGGATATCAACCAATAGGAAACACATCGACCAGAAAGAACTGGCAAAAAAAGTGCCGCGGATCTACTTCCCATACTGGCCACACGTGGCCCAAGAATTGGAAATGGGCTTCATCAGCTAGAAAAAAAGGAGTGACCCCACTGGAAGTATTCTCCATATGTCATGTGTGTGTGCATACATATCAATGTAGAAGTATGATAGACTCTGTATATATATATATTTATAATATAGAGAGAGGGAGTCATCCCCAAAAATGGAAAGTAAAACATCACACAAATAGTAGGAATTTACTTTTCTATATTTTTTGTGGATGATCATGATCTTAACATGTATATATAATATGTATATATATAGTTATATAGTCATCAAATAAAATATTGACATTTCTATCAAGATCCTCAACAATATTCGGATCAAGTTGAAAATCCCATATCTATCTACTTCAGGATGATTATATATATATACAGCCTCCGGTAATCAAACCGGGCTATGGACAATCACACATTTACAGTTGGTTTTCCCAGCTATAAACCTCAATTTATAGGGGATTTTCCAGCCGGCCACGTTTAATTGCCGGAGGGTAAATCACAATTTTGTCGGGAAATGATGATTTACCATTGGATTAGCAATGATTAACCATTGGATTAACTATTTTTACCATCTAATTTTGACTATTTTAAGCCTAACCCCATCTATCTATCTACCTATCTACCTATCTATCTATTTATCTAGCTATCTAGCTATCTAGCTATCTATCTATCTATCTATCTCTCTCTATCTATCTCTATCTATCCATCTACATATCTTTCTTTCTGTCTATATCAATCTATCTATCTATCCATCTATCTATCTATCTATCGTTCTATCTATCTATCTATCTTTCTTTCTTTCTTTCTTTCTTTGTATCTATCTATATCTCTATCTATCTATCTATCTTTCTTTCTTTCTTTCTTTGTATCTATCTATATCTCTATCTATCTATCTATCTACCTATCTATCTATCTTTCTATCTATCTATCTACCTATCTATCTATCTTTCTATCTATCTTTCTATCTATCTATCTGCCTGTCTATCTAGCTATCTATCTACAGCTATCTAGCTATCTATCTATCTATCTATCTATCTCTATCTATCTCTATCTATCTCTATCTATCTCTATCTATCTCTATCTATCAATTGCTGGTGGTTTCATCCCAGTCGTGCGGGTACCCCCAGATCTAATTTTCGGATCGAAATAAACCATCCAGCTGGGGTCCCCAACACGTTTCGATAGGGCACTGGTGGTGCGGCTTAAGTCGTAGACCTCCTTGAGCCTGCCGGGGCGGGGCCCCGGGGCTCCGGGGTAGCCATGGCATCAAAAAATGGAGATCACCCGGGAAATGTTTGAAAAGCCTGGAAACATGTTCTTAAAAAAATATGGAAAAGTGATGAAAAGTGTAGAAAAATCATGGTCAATCTTTGATTGTCCACAAGAAACGGTCATCTTTTGCTGGTGATTTTCATATTTTCCATCGGTAAAAAAAACTATAGGATTAACTACCCGTCTAAGGTTGGGGATGGGCTGAAAAAATGAATGTCACCGCGAACAATGATATACTTCGATGTGCATTTCCAGTTGGTCGATTGTCAAATATCCACACATCACTATATTATTTAATACGTATATGAACTGATTCATCTACTGTATAACCACTTATGAACAGGGTCGTACATCCAAGTATAACTAAGTATAACCCACAAAAATCGAGGAGTGAAAGAACAGAGGTTGTGAAAGAAAATCTATTCATAGATTGCTAAATTGCGCAATTCCAGGTGGAAACTTTTAAAAAAGGGTTATATTCCTGGCCAAGGCTTGTTAGTGTGCAATGAAGGCTGAGATAGCAGCTATTGATTCAGCATGCAGTGGAAACATTTATCCGTTTGTATACGAGCAAACCACTGCAGCTATTGAGTCAGCATGTAGTGGAAACATGTGACAACCGATAAGCTACTTAGCTAATTAGCTACTAAAGTGGAAACGAAAACGTGTTCCACCAAAATATACTTCCAAATAAAATATAGTTCCTTTTTTTTTCGGAACTATAATTTTGAAATCCTTTATCAAAAGTGTTTCACCAAAATATAACTCCAAAAAAATATAGTTCCTTTTTTTTTCGGAACTATAATTTTGAAATCCTTTTTCAAAAGTGTTTCACCAAAATATAATTCCAAAAAAACATATAGTTCCTTTTTTTCGGAACTATAATTTTCGAATCCTTTTTCAAAAGTGTTTCACCAAAATATAATTCCAAAAAAAATATAGTTCCTTTTTTTTCGAAACTATAATTTTGAAATCCTTTTTCAAAAGTGTTTCACCAAAATATACTTCCAAAAAAAAAATATAGTTCCTTTTTTTTCGGAACTATAATTTTGGAATCCTTTTTCAAAAGTGTTTGACCAAAAAATTCGTAAAAAAAATATAGCTCCTTTTTTTCGGAACTATAATTTTGGAATCCGTTTTCAGAAGTGCTTCACCAAAAGATAATTCCAAAAAAAATATAGTTCCTTTTTTTTCGGAACTATAATTTTGGAATCCTTTTTCAAAAGTGTTTCACCAAAATATAATTCAAAAAAAAAAATATAGTTCCTTTTTTTTTCGGAACTATAATTTTGAAATCCTTTTTCAAAAAAGTTTCACCAAAATATAATTCCCAAAAAATATATAGTTCCTTTTTTTTTGGAACTATAATTTATAATGCTTTTTCCAGACATGTTGCTAATACATTGTCACCGTTTTGGGACCAATTTTGCTGAAAAAAACTTTCACTTTTGAAAAAGGATTCCAAAATTATAGTTCCGAAAAAAAAGGAACTATATGTTTTTTGGAATTATCTTTTGGTGAAGCACTTCTGAAAACGGATTCCAAAATTATAGTTCCGAATAAAAAGGAACTTTTTTTTTTTGGAATTATCTTTTGGTGAAACACTTTTGATAAAGGATTCCAAAATTATAGTTCCGAAAAAAAAAGGAACTACATTTTTTTTTGGAAATATATTTTGGTGAAACACTTTTGAAAAAGGATTCCACAATTATAGTTCCGAAAAAAAGGAACTATAATTTTTTTTTGGAGTTATATTTTGGTGAAACACTTTTGAAAAAGGATTTCAACATTATAGTTCCAAAAAAAAGGAACTATATTTTTTTTGGAATTATATTTTGGTGAAACACTTTTGAAAAAGGATTCGAAAATTATAGTTCCGAAAAAAAGGAACTATATTTTTTTTGGAATTATATTTTGGTGAAACACTTTTGAAAAAGGATTTCAAAATTATAGTTCCGAAAAAAAAGGAACTATATTTTTGTTTGGAATTATATTTTGGTGAAACATTTTTGAAAAATGATTCCCAAATTATAGTTCCGAAAAAAAGGAACTATATTTTTTTTTGAATTATATTTTGGTGAAACACTTTGTGAAAAAGGATTCCAAAAATATAGTTCCGAAAAAAAAAACAACAACTATAACTATATACTTTTTTTGGAATTATATTTTGGTGCAACACTTTTGATAAAGGATTCCAAAAATATAGTTCCGAAAAAAAAAGGAACTATATTTTTTTTTTGGAAGTATATTTTGGTGAAACACGTTTTCGTTTCCACTTTAGTAGCTAATTAGCTAAGTAGCTTATCGGTTGTCTTCCATTTGTGTTTAAGTCGTTTTAAGTGTTTTAAAACTTATGACAGGTACCTGCAGATATATAACGCTTTTTTGTTTTTTCTTTCCTATAGAGGCTAGGGTTTATGAAATTTAGCATCATAGATGACAAAATTTGTGGAAACTGGTTGACATGGTCATGAGCCAGGTGTGGAATGGGTAAAAGCTGGGAATTGGCCCCATCCAAGGCCAAAGATCAATCCAGGCACTGGGAAAACCATGATGATGACCATCTTAAGTGAATGGGTGTGCCGCATATGCCCCTCAAACCAGCCATCTAACCTGAAGGTTCATCAGGAAAATCATGAATCATGATGATAATCTGTTGGATTTGGGGAGTCCTCATTTTCAGACCATCCATTTTGATCCATTTTGGCCATCTACTGAGCTAAGAACATGTTCTCTTGGTGCTCCTTCACTTTCTGCACCTGCACAGCCATTGGCAGAATTGGCACTTACAAGCAGCAGTGCACGGGACCAAATCGGCGGAAAGTCAAGTGATTCCAAAATCGAAATCAGTAACTTTTGGGTCAGGTTGTTGTGGCTTCACTGTAACCCGAACCAAAAGCTGCCACATTGCGTAGGGAGCTCCAGGATTCTCCAGGGAAGTCATAGTCTATGGTATGTTCTGTTCAAGAAAATGGAACTGCTGCGATCGCAGCCACAGTTTCACTCAGCCCATGGACGGATGAAGATGCTTTGCTTCACAACCTACGCTGAGCTGAAGTTCACCCTCCTTCCATTGAGGATGGCTCTACAGGCCGCGCCCGGGAGAACTGAAAGAGGAGCTACACCATAGCGGATCATCCCACTGAGTAACTGGATTAAGGCTTAGATTGGCTGATTTGAGATGTTTTCACTTTGTCAAATTATGTATTTATAACATATATATATATATATGTTGTATATGAAAGATATAGTAAGATACTTGTAAATGGGATAAGAAATCAGAGACTCGGTTACCTCCTGTCATGTTACGAAAGGACTTAGAACACCATTCACTGGGCGCCATGAATTCCGCAGCACCAGCCAGGGCAATTTGACCCTGACCGGAATTGACCATGTGGCCATGTGGCCAAAAAGGGTCAGGGGTCCTCAGACTCCGAACTGGACAGCAACGTTAAAGACCCATGGGAGGTTCGCCTTCGCCACGATCTCCTTAGTCGGAAAGGGAAGATCTGTCAGGGAATGTCAGGGATGATCGTGAAAGTTAGTACATGGGTTATAATTGTTGGACTATGACTATGATGAATGAATATGAATGATAAATAATGGGTTGTAGCTGGAGGTGTGATATCATGGCTGAAACGATCCTTCAGGTCTGACATTGGCTGTGTCTCAAACTTGGGTGCCGAATCCAAATCCGATGGAGTTTGAAACCTGAGTTTCTCAATCAAAATGGGCATACATTGCGGTATCCCTCATTTTTGGACAAACACCGCTGGTGTGTTGTGGATCAACAACCCAGCTACGCTACCCTGGTGTTTTAAGGACCCAAATGGATGCTGCACGCTTGCACGCTGGATGTTCATCCCCAAATTCATATGGAAAATTCATAGGTTTTGGATCCATCCCATACACACATTGTCACATACCATCAAAAATGAAATGTCCTGATGTCCTCCAAGCTTAGACGTGTTTCATGGCTATCTGGCTAGAAAAAAGCCTATAGTCTGGGCATTGACTCCATAATAATTGGACTCCCAATTTGGATCATTTGGCCCCATGTGAAGCTGAAAAATAGGAATCCAAACCTTCACATTTCCATACATTTCCACTGTTCAAGAAATTACATTATAGATCAATTTAGAGGAATCTGGGGCACAACGGGCACAACGGGCACAACGGGTACAACGGGCACAACGGGCACAACGGGCACAACGGGCACAACCAGAAAACCCTGGATCATGGACCCTCTGAAGTCGCATTTATCACTGTTGTCCGTAAATGTATGTTCGCCCTCACTACTCTACCTTACACAGCATCATGCGATTCAAAACTCATCTTTCAAGAAAAATCTCCTGAAAAAAACACCCCCCAACTTAAAACTTATATAAAAAACGAATCCTTTGAACAAGACTCCTGAAAAATCACCCCAAACTTCTTCCCTCCGCCCAGTTTCCAGGTCAGACCGAAGACCGCCATCGCACTAGTGAGGATCACGGCGGCCAATTTCAAATCACGGGTGTCACCAATACCTGGCGCTTTGATTAGTGCAACTGCTGTGATAATGGGATATGATATACCCTCTACTAAACTACCGGTTTGCTATTGAAAATTGCCATTGAAATAGTGGATTTACCCATTAAAAATGGTGATTTTCCATAGTTATGTTAGTTTACCATGATATAATGGGTTTTGATAGATGATCAATATGATAAATATCAGTAAATCATCCGTAAATGTGCTCCATTTTCCATAGCTATGTTAAATAAGCAGAGGGTAATTGGCTGCTTAACACTAGTATGTTTTTTTTTTTTTTAAACGCTATTAACCAACCAGTAGTATTAACCAGTAGTATTCACCAACGACTAGTATTGAAACAACTGGTGATTGGTGGGTTAATAAAAATTAATCAACCAATTGTGTTAACCAAGCAGTCTTGACGCTAGTTGTATTATCCAATGGGTTAAGTACTTGATTTTATTATAAACCAGAGAAAATAAGATAACACTGTGTTTATAAAAGAGGCGTACGGTTACGAACAAATTTGCCCCGTTCATGTATTGAAGGACAATATCACACCATATAATAATCATTAATCGTAATTCAACAATCAGCTATCAACATATCAACTATGTCCCCATGGGTTTGATGGTTAAACCATGCTAACCCCTATAAACAAAATGCCATTCATCACCATATGTTTCGTCAATCAACAGGTTTTGTTCCTCACGCAGCTCACATGTCACATGGTCCGGAGGCCTGAAGGCCTGAATCTGGGGAAACATAAACTGCCACTTTTGGTTATTGGGTCATTGTTTATGGGACACGTAAAGCCAAACATTATTGGAGGAAGTCACCTTTCGGTGGAAATGGTTACCATGGTTACCATAAATCCCCATGAAATAATGGGGATATCATGGAGATAAAATGGGGATATGGTAGGATAATTTGCCAATGACTATCTATGATGTCTGGTTGTGTCCTAAAATTGGTCTGGAAATGTGTGATATAAAGGGTGATATAACAGGGAAATATTCTGGATATCATGGGGGTACAATGTTGATGCAAACAACAGTACCCTATTTCAGACAAACAAGCATCATGTTTCTACTAAAACATGAAATCTATTGAAATATGATCGCGGGGTGTCAATCCCCCATATTCAAATGGTTTCATGATGTTTCATGACACAATGACCATCTAAATCCCTTGGTCAAATTAACATCTCAACCCGCCCTCCAATCCCCACCAACCAGACAAAGGGGAATAAGGGGCCTCGATGAACTAAATGAGGTTGCACATAATTACTCGATTTCCATACCCTGACGCTAACTAGATGGCTTCGACCCATTTCAACCGGATGACATCCATGGGCCCCAGTTATACCCGGCAGCACGCCCCTTCTTGACTGATTTTTTCACTACTAAACTGAACGTCAACGCTCTGTCTCTATCCTTAAATTTTGACTCCACACCCATCTCCGCAAACTAAAAATACCGTAATTACCCTCTGGTAAACCAACATAACTATGGAAAATCACCATTTTTAATGGGTAAATCAAATATTTCAATGGCCATTTTCAATAGCAAACTGTTAGTTTACCAGAGGGTATATAATTGTACAATATAGTACATAGCACTCCCTCCCCTCCCTACATCATCCCCATGATCCCATTCACTATTCTGGTTGCCTTTCGTTTATGTTGGTGAAACCCCCCAATTTCAGACCATAAAAGAACCCAAAAAGATAGACATAAAAAAAATCCTGCCCAAAAATGCTGGTAAACTGGTAAACTATGATACTATCTTTTTGGAGATGATCCTCCAAACTATAACATATGTGAAAAACCATGAAAAAACACAGGTTTTTTCCTATGGTTTCCTGGCTTTTCCACCTCGTTTCACCTACGTCCCAGGGATCCCCCGGTGTCTCCCCCCGGCCTCGAAGCGCCGTGATGAGCCTCGGCGAGGTCCGCTGAAAGCCCTGCGCAGCCGCCTGGTGCAGCCGACGGAGCTCCGTCTCGTTCCAGCTCGACGGCCGGGCGCCCGCCACGTTGGCGAACCACTCGGGTAAGAAGAGGTCCGTGGGGAAGAAGTAGTACCTGGGAAAAAAAAGGTTGGGGGCAACTATTAAATTACACATAATTACACATCTATAACACTTTAACATCTATGTATATATGTATATAATATACTATATATATATATCAATTAGGTGTACATGTAAATATCTTATGCAAGATTTTTGAATTGCATACCGCCTCCGAAAAGAGGACCCTCTTTCCAACTCAGTCTATAGAGAAGTGCATAATTCACTCAGCTCAATTCAGCATGGTTTAACCAAAATGGCGTGAGCTGAAGGAGAAGACTTATTTTTTAAAAATATATATATATATACCAAAACAAAACACAGTTTGTAAACCTTTTAAAGGAGATTGAAGCTAAGTAGAGTTTGAAACAACTCTATATATATATATACCAAAGAACAGAATGTCTTGAAGAACGTGTAGGATTTGGTGTTCTCTGCATTGTTCCTTGACACATGTCGAACATATTTGAGCCCATTAAAGAAAAGTAAAACATTGAAACAAGGCAGCGATCCTATCAGAAGGTACAGCACCTCATTGCGCAATCACAGCACTGTCCTCATGTGCATCGAGTGTTGTTTTTCGGAGAAACTGTTTCCTAGCTTGCATCTACAAAACATATGAGTCATATGAGCAAATCAGTCACCCTTCGTTCGAGCTCTGGTCATGTCCTTTTTGCAATGCGTAGTCTCTTTTTTGCCCTGGCAAAACTAGCTTGTCTCACATTGTCTCACCCATCCTCAACGTCTGAATGTTAGCTGGTTTGGAGGGATTACCATCTGGTTATTTAACATAGCCATGGAAAATCACAATTTTTAATAGGTAAACCATCTATAAATGGGCTATTTTCCATGGCTATGTTAAATAGCCAGAGGGATTAAATCTCATTTACACACCATTCACATTCATTTATGGCGTGGCAATTCATGGATGGAGCCTGAGGGACTGCCAGCAACTCAAGCAAGTCATGGTGTCAAAAGATGTGTCAAAAAGGGGGAAAGCTGATCTAGCAGGACTTGGGTTTTGAAACATCATCCCTCTTTCTTTGGTTTCCCTCACGCAGCCAGACAAAATCAACAAAAAACAGCAAACGGCCTCATCAACCAAGCTGCTCAGAGGGCAGGGCATCCATTCCAAGGGCATTTTGGTACATCTCACTCTGAGGGTATTTGGGCAACTGTTCCTGAGGCATGCGAAGCATTGCGAAGCTGCTCAACAAATTTCCCCCGAGGCTTGCAGAATGAAAAACAAACACATGATCTAGCCAACTCTACTATGTCAAATCCAGATGGTCCCACTCTCCAGTTGTCAGCTTCTGAACATCTTCCCTACGCGCTGTATTTCAGTGGGGACTGTCCGTCTGGCGTCCATTTTAAGCTGCACGTGAAATCAGGCAGGTTGCATGTTGCTGTATGCCGGCTATATCCCAATAACATCACAGTTATTAGTTGGTTAAATCCACATCTGACACACTGTTGAAATTACCACGTCCCTTCTTCAAATCCCTGGGTCGGGTTCGATCACATGTCCCTCTGCTGTATTCCTACGAGTACTGTTCGAACCAATCCCTTCGTTTGCCGGACCAATCAAGTTGAGTCTTTATCTTCGCTACTTAAATCAGCTATAAATCCCCATGGTTCTTTGGTCAATGTCCAATTTTCATCTGATTTTGTTCATCAACTCTCCATGTTCTCTGTTTTTCACCATTTTTCACCGATTTCGTGGGTCACATCAGCTACAAATCCCCATGACGATGTGACCCATGGTCAATTCATGTCAATTCTCCATGTTTTCTGGTCAAATTTCCATGATTTTTGTCGAAACTCAACCAACTGCAATCGACTGCAATCAACTTGTCAACTCCCATGCCAAGCATTTCACCAAGCATCCCAAAAGAAGGGATACTGCGGAATTCGCTGTCGAAAGACGTCGATTTGCGCCTTCATCTGCTGGAGCCCCGCCCAGGTTGCAGCGAGATAGCCCAGTGCTGCGGCGCTGAAGACAGGGTTGTACAGCAAACCCATGGCTGCGGACATCACCTGTGGTGACTGATTGGTGAGCCACCTGAAAAATAGGAGCACATGGGGGGAAAATTGGGATCTAACAAGTTCAAGTGGGATGTTTTGTTGATTTTGGTTTACTGAGGGTTGAAACAAACTGGTATCATGGGTCCCAACCAAGGGAGATGGGGTACCGGGTACCACCCAGGACTGGGCCATGGAAAATGATATAGATGCCGTAGCTTTCTAAAAATGGGAAGATCGCGGACAAGAATCAGGGCACAATCACTATATATATATATAGCAGGGCACAATCACTATATATATATAACCATCGGAAATGGGGATTCTACATGATAAGACTTATAAATCGTTTAGCAAATATGCGGCCTTGCTCCACTGAAATGGCAATGAATCGCATCAGGGAGAATCCCAGCAGTTGCACATATGCCATGACCCTTCAACTCAGACGTATGGCACATGGATGCAACTCATCATGCCAGATTCAAGAATGTAGCAAATACCTGGAAATATGCCGTCAAAGAGCCATTGTTTACTATTGAACTTGATAGGGTGTCAGTTGGTTCCATCACCTCTAGATGACTCTTTTTCGAAAAAATGGGCCAGAATTGTTAGATACTGTATAGGTTTTGGACCAACGGGGTGCAATGCTGGCAGGAGGTTCCACTACTATCCATTTACAAAGCATTTTGAGTAGACGCCGTGCTCAATCTTTGACCTTCTACCACATGAGCAGTCTTTAATATACTTTATTTTGTTAACACTCATTGTTTTTTATCTATAGTTTTTTTCCAATTATAAACTACATGATTGACTTACTGTGGTATTAAAAAATTCGTCTTCATGTTTATATAATGGGACACGCGCCTAACCCCGTGCCAATTCCACATTCTTAACCCCGCACAGCGTTATACTTAACCCCGAACCAGCAGTGCATCTTTAACCATGAACAACCACGAACAATCCCAGTGCACAACCAGTTTTTTTTACTCTGGTGCGTGAGTCGGCGTGGGCTCCAGATCGGAGACAGACCTGCCAAAGTGACAGCTGGTGACAGCTGAGTGTTGACTCATCATATGAAAGTAGCTCTGGAATTTTCAGCATTGAACCTGTTCCACCGCCATGGCTCTCAATCTTTCAATGACTTCATGTTGTTCACATGCAACGCCTGCCAAGTCACCACCTAAGCACTGAGCCGTGTGCCCATAGCATGCTCTGGAGGGCCTTCAAAACCGTGGATTTTCCTGTCATGGAATGCATTCATTTCTGGATTTGAATCGTTTTCAGCTGGATTGAGGCAGTTTGGTAGCTGCATTGATTTTCACTGGAAGATTTGCTGCAAGAAACAGCTTTTTTGGTCGAAGCATCTGGATATGCTGTCTACAGATATGTACTTACAACCTGCAGGTGCGCTGTCGGCAAGTCAAGGACGCGTTATGTGACCAACCAAAGGGCGACTGCGTGACAAGCTATGGGATGACTGAGGGACAAACAGAACAGTCACTGTGTGTGACAAAATATGCAGGTACTATCTGACAAACTAACTAGTCGCTGTGTGACAAGCTATCTGTCCTCATTGGTGACAAGCAAAACAGACTCTTATGCAACAAATCGCTCTTTTTCAAGCTGCAGGTGCGTTGTCAGCAAGCCAAGGTCGCGTTATGTGACCAACCAACAGCAGACTGCGTGACAAGCTATGGGATGACTGAGGCACAAACAGAACAGTCACTGTGTGACAAACTATGCAGGTACTATCTGACAAACTAAGTAGTCGCTGTGTGACAAGCTATCTGTCCGCATTGGTGGCAAGCAAAAAAGACCCTTATGCAACAAGTCGCTTTATTACAAGCTGCAGGTGCGTTGTCAGCAAGTCAAGGACGCGTTATGTGACCAACAAAGGGCTGAGGCACAAACAGAACAGTCACTGTGTGACAAACTATTCAGGTACTATCTGACAAACTAAGTAGTCGCGGTATGACAAGCTATCTGTCCGCATTGGTGACAAGCAAAACAGACTCTTATGCAACAAATCGCTCTTTTTCAAGCTGCTGTTGCGTTGTCAGCAAGTCAAGGACGCGTTATGTGACCAACCAAAGGGCTGAGGCACAAACAGAACAGTCACTGTGTGACAAACTATGCAGCCACTATCTGACAAACTAACTAGTCGCTGTGTGACAAGCTATCCGTCCGCATTTGCGAGAACCAAAGCAGTTTCTTGTATGACAAGTGACGCCCTTACAAGCTGCAGGTCATCAATCCGGTCAGGACTAGGCCGGTCAGGCGGAACGGCCATCTCACTCTCTTCATCCTGTCCCACGAAAGTGTCGGGGGCCAAGAGCACTTGCTTGTACCTTTTGTACAATTCATTCATGAAATCCGACTCGCGCATTCCACGGGCTTCAACGCATGCATCCTTTGCAAACTTCACACCACTCTCAGCCAAGTTTTGGCTGCTTGGAAATCCGCAAGCAGCTTTCGACGTCTTGCCACACCAAATTTTGCCGACCACATATGTCCATCGCCACTTCGACTTTTCAGCCGAACTTGCTTTTGGAGATACTCTGCAAAGCTCTCCTGCATCTTGATGCAGCCAATCGATCGACCACTCAGGCCTGCTTTCCAAACAACATCTGCAACATAGGCATTGGGAGCAAGGCCATCAGGCGAAAGAGCTTCTTGACCGCTTCTACAGAGTCAACATCGTTTCTCCGATCCAAGTTTTTGTACAAATGCTCCAAGTCATGGAGTAGCAAGGGAGCGTCACTCAATGCCTCTCTGTGTGCCTTTTGCATTGCGCCGCTCCAATCCGAATTGAGCTGCGCATAGAATGGGACTGGAGGAGGGGAAGTCAACAGGCTGCAAAGAAGCTGCTTCATGAAAACGAATCCCCGCACTGGCACGCAATGCTCCGAGTCCTCATAAGGACACCAAACAAACATCGTGGGCGCCAAAAATCTTCGCCATCTCTCGTTCCTCTTGCTTCTGTGGAATACTGGACATCCCAGTATACCGAGCTTGAGTCCAGAACGCACAATATTACCAGTGAAATCTGATTGGCACCTGAAGGGTGACAAACTTGCTGCTGACTTTTGGCAGGCATCAAGAACCAAGCGCACTAGCTCGGTGATGAAGAACATTACAGCACAGTAGTCTGTGCGTACTTCGTACCAAAGCACCCATAGGCCATCAGGAATGCTATCACAAGAGTTTACATCCAGCTTCCGGCTCTGCAAGCAATCAGCAAATTCACTCACAGACATCATTTGTTTTTTCTGGCGAAGCTTAGCAAAGCTATTCTGCACTGCACGCAATGATAACTCCTTCTGAACATCCGGCCCCAATTCCCGATGACATTCCAGAGGAGTTTTGCGCTTGGCAGCTAGCGCCTTTCCCTTGTCTAGATGTGCTCGAGGCACTGGGTGCTCTGCGTCAGCTCGTGCAACACGCTCTAAATTGGAATGATCTTGTTCTGACTGTGTGACAAGCGATGTACGACAAGCTAACACCTGTGCGACAATGCATGACAAGCTTTATAAGAGCTCACTGTGTGACAGGCTAGGGGCCTACTGCCGGACAACTTGACTGCTCACTCTGTGACAAGGGAAGGACAAAAACCTAGCACTCACTTTGTGACAATCCCTACAGCCACTGTGTGACAACCTGAAAAATGACTGTGCGACAAGAGAAGTACAGACTGCTGAGCACACTGGCAGGCAGACTGGCCGGCCGCGACTGCCTGTCACAATGTGAGAATGCGTGGCAAGCTAAGAGGGCTCACTGTGTGACAATCTAAGGGCTCTCTGTGTGACAGGCTAGGGGCCTACTGCCGGGCAACTTGACTGCTCACTTTGTGACAAGGGAAGGACAAAAACCAACAACTCAATTTGTGACAATCCCTACAGCCACTGTGTGACAACCTGAAGACTGACTGTGCGACAAGAGAAGTACAGACTGCTGAGCACACTGAGGTTTTTTTGCGGATGAACATATACGAATGATTTGGAAGATATACGAATGAATTGGGGCTCGAATTTTTTTAAAAAAATATACCAATGAATTTGAAAACATACGAATGAATTGGGGTCCAATTTTTTTGAGGGGGAAGATATACGAATGAATTGGAAGACATACGAATGAATTGAGGTTTAATTTTTTTTGGAGAGGGAAGATATATGAATGAATTGGCAGTCATACGAATGAATTGGGGTTCAATATGGTTCAATTTTTTTGGAGAGGGAAAATATACGAATGAATTGGCAAACATACGAATGAATTAGGGTTCAGATTTTTTTGGGGCAGAAGATATACGAATGAATTGGAAGACATACGAATGAATTGGGGTTGCAGGCAGACTGGCCGGCCGCGACTGCCTGTCACTGTGTGACAATGCATGACAAGCTGAGAGCTCACTGTGTGACAACCTAAGGACTGACTATATGACAAGCTAGGGTCTCACTGTGTGACAATCTAAGGGCTCTCTGTGTGACAGGCTAGGGGCCTACTGCCGGGCAACTTGACTGCTCACTCTGTGACAAGGGAAGCAAAAAAACCGTGCTCACTCTGTGACAAGGGAGGGAAAAAAACCGAACACTCACTGAGTGACAATCCCCTACAGCCATCGTGTGACAACCTGAAGACTGACTGTGCGACAAGAGAAGTACAGACTGCTGAGCACACTGAGATTTTTTGAGGATGAAGATATACGCATGAATTGGAAGATATACGAATGAATTGGGGTTCAGATTTTTTGAGGGGGAAGATATACGAATGAATTGGAAGACATACGAATGAATTGGGGTTGCAGGCAGACTGGCCGGCTGCGACTGCCTGTCACTGTGTGACAATGCATGACAAGCTAAGAGCTCACTGTGTGACAACTTAAGGACTGACTATATGACAAGCTAGGGGCTCACTGTGTGACAATCTAAGGGCTCTCTGTGTGACAGGCTAGGGGCCTACTGCCGGGCAACTTGACTGCTCACTTTGTGACAAGGGAAGGACAAAAACCAACAACTCAATTTGTGACAATCCCTACAGCCACTGTGTGACAACCTGAAGACTGACTGTGCGACAAGAGAAGTACAGACTGCTGAGCACACTGAGATGTTTTGCGGGAGAAGATATACGAATGATTTGTAAGATATACGAATGAATTGGGGTTCATATTTTTGAGGGGGAAAATATACGAAGAAATTGGAAGATATACGAATGAATTGGAAGACATGCGAATGAATTGGGGTTCAATATGGTTCAATTTTTTTGGAGAGGGAAAATATACGAATGAATTGGCACACATACGAATGAATTGGGGTTCAGATTTTTTCGGGGCAGAAGATATACGAATGAATTGGAAGACATACGAATGAATTGGGGTTGCAGGCAGACTGGCCGGCCGCGGCTGCCTGTCACTGTGTGACAATGCATGACAAGCTAAGAGCTCACTGTGTGACAACCTCAGGACTGGCTATATGACAAGCTAGGGGCTCACTGTGTGACAATCTAAGGGCTCTCTGTGTGACAGGCTAGGGGCCTACTGCCGGGCAACTTGACTGCTCACTCTGTGACAAGGGAAGGACAAAAACTTAGCACTCACTGTGTGACAATCCCAATAGCCACTGTGTGACAACTTAAAATGATACTTGAAAATCATAACCAAGGGCGGAGCCACTGCGTCAAGAATATCAGCGGTCTGCAAAGAAGCGAGAAATGAAGTGCACATGGTAAAAAATGACAAGAGAGTCAGCTGCCATACGCAGGTTCGGTCAATTTGAGAAACATGCAATTTACGTTCTCGTAGTTTATCCTTTATAAAGCAGCACCAGACGAACTCAAGTCAAGGTTAGGAAAGACAGTTGTTCAAGGTTAAGCTATAACCTGTTCGAGGTTAAGTAATGGGTTGTTCGGGGTTAGGCAAGTCTCAGTTTATATATTACATGTAGTTCAGTGGACTCGAAATAAACAATCATCATACATATATGACTATTACTAAACTATAAGTATATATATATAGTTTGTAAATGTTTGTAATATGTTACGATCAGTAATAACTTGTGTCATTACACCTCACATAGTTAGATCCCAAGCGTAGCAACCCCCAAAAAGATGGAGACATTTTTATCCTGCTGACCAAAATAGGCAAATTTAATCGCGTTCTATTGTTTGGTGGTAAATTACGACAAATCGCGCGGGTTTGTCAGAAAATAGGGTCCCCCAGTCCATCCATTGATCAATCATCATCCCTATTGAAATGGCCATCATTTGGGAGTAAATCCCCAATTTTCAGACACATCCTTAACAATCACACATTATTGTTATAATATATATATATGTATATGTGTGGCCATATATACATATATAATCAGATATAATCGTGTATATATATATATATACATATATATACACCATTATATCACCACTATATCTCCATTGTGGTTGGTTATATTCTGGGGTATGCCCAACTCCAAAGCCATGGCCATAAAAGGGGGTGATTCCCCCAATCCCAACCATTCCACATAGGGATATCATAATGTATAAATTCCTATGGGAACATTCTCTGCAGGGAACAAACATATGCAAAGTATGTCTTCCCGTTTTCTTCCTTTGCCAGAAAATTTTCTTTTCTCTACCATAAACCCACTCCATCCAACGTTCACGTCGCGTCGTCGTCGCCACGTCACGTTGCCGCCGGGATAAGCCGTGGCGGACAAGCTGCGCTTGGCGCTGCTCGCGGAGCCACCCAGACCCCCGAAGGTCACGAAGCGGATCTGCCAGCAGATGAACCCTCGTTAAAACCGTTAAAGCCTGGTGAAAATTGAGGATTTAACCGTTGAACCAGGAAAATGTGGATTTGACATGATTTAACCATGAAAAATGATGACTTAACCAACAAACATGGGGTTTGATGGGATTTTATATAAGGATTTAACAAGGAAACATGTTGATTTACCAGAACTACCCAACAAAAATGGAAACTCAAGCAACCAAAATTTGTTGATTTAACCATCAAAATGGTTAAGTAGTTAAGTTGGTAAGTTGTATCATATCTGGGTTCATCTTCACCCCCCAGGATTTATATAAATCCTTAGAAACTATTCATATATCAGGTTTTACCAAATGGAAAAAAATCTCTTCCAGACATGGACCCAGATACTTGTGGTTTCGAACTGAAAATGGCTTTTCATACTCCCAAAATCATCCAAAAGTCGAAAATGATCTAACAATGCTATCCCACTTTGATCATGTTCAGAACCCATATCTTACGACTCAATCTTGGTGATGTTCCCATCTGCTTCATCCATCAATGGGAATTCCAGGATCCAACAGATTCGGAGGTACGTTAGTACCATTTTTCAGACCATATTTTGGGGCTATATCCCCTAAAATTTAGCCCTTACATAGACCTTATGAATGTGGAATCGGTACCTCCAATTTTGATCGGTTCCTGTTGCATCTGCTCCATCCATCGGGCACCTTGGGGATGGACCCCGGGGCTTCCAAGGTGCCATGCTCCATCCTCTGCGACAACATGTAGGCAGTGCGCGAGGCCGTGTCGCAGGAGGAACCGCAGAGTCCATCGGATAAAAACAAAATGTCGCCTCGCGAGACAAAAAATGGACAAGCTCATGCTGGGAATGTGTTTTTTTTGTGAGATATAACTGTAGTGATGTATGGTGATATATATATACAGTATATATAGTGATATCTATATTTTGATTTGTCGAGATCTATCTATGGATCGATCGATCGATATGTATACATTTAGTATACATAGCATATATTCCAGTGATCATACTTGATGAAGAAAATCCTGGTGACTGTAAGCCCCCTGATTCTGCGATTCTTGGGGTTGTCTCATACATAATTTTTGATCAGGGTTGCTAGCCAGTTTGTAAGTGGGATGAGGCTACAAGTGGCTGGTGCATGTGAAGCACTTGGAGGATCACACAACGCATAGTTAAAAACATATAACAAGAATACAAGAATCAACAAATCAAAAATGTTAATAAATGATAACAACAATAATACACAACATATGAACACAAACTTAATAACAGCATAAATGATAATAAACCATGATATCATAATATACATTCATTACATATTTTCGGGGGACACTTCCCTCAAACTTCACACTTTCTCCATGGCAGGAGACCCTGCTGGATCAGCCCGCAATTCGAAGTCCCCAAAGTGTGATGCTTCCACACTTGCATTAGACATCTTTGTGTTGTTTTCCGTTTCTACTTGTTATATACATATGGAGATGTATGTATGTATATATATAATATGTATATATGTATGTACGTATATATATATGTGTATATATATATGTAAATATATATTACTCTCTCGAAAATGGACACATCATGAAACATCCCAGAATATCTGAACACCCTTGCTGTTTGATTCGTAGTCTTAGGATTGTCTTCAATGGTAAAGAGGGTGAACTATTACCATGGTATACCCCATGGCCACCAATACCCTGCAAACAATTGACTGTTCATCTGGTTGCTAGTAACTACAGTATAGATGATATATATATATACCCTCCAGTCATCAAAGGTGGCTGGAAAAACCCCAAACTAAATGGAGGTTTCAAATTCTCGGAACATCATCGAACTAAATGGTGGATGTTCAAGCCACGTCTGGAGGATCCCGTTGTCCCGGACCGATGTCCAGTGGCTAAATGGATTCTCCACCCCTTCCAGCGCATCCACGAACTCCTAGAGGGAAACGTTCGCAAAACGCTCAGTCAGTTGATGATGTTCAACCAGGATTGACAACAAATTCACCTTGCAACACCCAGAAATTACACGAATGGTCACCGAAAAATGTGGTTTCATCCCCCACCACATCAAACTGAGCGATTTCTGGGTGTCAAACTGAGCGCACAAGGAGATCAACCATGGAAAAAATACCTCTATCCCACTGCATTATACTGGCTGGTTGATAGGTATCCCTATGATTGATTTTAGGAATCCCTGACAAACCAGGTGCTATGACTTATGATTCAATCACCACTTGTCACTAGGATATGACTTATGATCCCCTATTTGACAGAAAAAAACAACATGGGTAAGTTAAATGGCTCAAGTTGCTTTCATTCTCTCTCACTCCCACCAAAAAACTCCGAACATTTCAGATATTTCAGAGCTTTCTCTCCAGATAAAACCAACCAACCACTTTTTGGAACCCTGTAAAACAACCCGTTTTCACGGCTTAGATCTCCTTGGTGTAGACGGAAACACAATCCTCCACACGAAACCTGGCAGACATTGCCGATCATTGTGGGATGGTCTCATTGATGTTGATGACTTAATGGTATATCACTTACGTATATAATAATATATAATGTGTTAGTCATATTCCAATGTTTGATAGCTATATTCCCATCGTTGTTATTCTCATTCATATTCCCACTAGTTTTATTTTTATTCCCACTTATATTCCCATTTTTATTATATTAGTATATACTAGTTATATTTCCATTTAATCGTTGTTGGTTGAACAACTACATCATTTACATTTATACTTAGTTCAAATCATATTCAGGTGTTGCTCCCATTTATACAATATATATATATATTGCCATTTGGAGGTTTCTTCAAATGGGGGTACCCCCAAATCATCCATTTTATTTTGAGATGTTCCATGAAATAAACCATCGAGCTATTGGGGTACCTCCATTTTAGGAAACCGTCATATAGATATTCACCATTGTTCCCACCATTATTATTCACACCATTGTATTATAGATTTACCAGTATTAATCATTGTATCCAGTGATGATCCAGTGATTAATCATCATTGTATAACCCATTCTATATAATAATTAATGAAGATCATTCTTACTGTATCCAGTGATTAATCATCATTAACCATTCACCTTTCGACCTTTCTCAACGGGGCCTGGCTGTGAGCGTCGTTTCTCTTCCGCCCCGCTGCGCAGTGCGCAGCTGCCGAAAGGGATCAAAGGGCTTACCCCGCTCCGAGAAGGCGGTCCTTGGGCAGTCCCAGGGGGATGTGGCCCTGGGTATTTGAAATTGCTTATGATCCATATACATATATAACCACTATAATCTATTATAATCCCATATATAAGTGGGGATATTCGACATATAATTGGGTGATATTGGAGCTATAAAATGGTAAATACTAAGTGGGATGCACCCCGGCTGCCCCATGGGTGAAAATGAAAGACCTGAGGGACCACAGATTGACCTGTCTATTTTTTTTGGTATTAGCCATCCAAGTATTGTGGGACCCAATTTTGACCTGTAAGTATGTGGCTTTGTTCCTGCAAGTTGAATTCGGAAGATCGGGATTCATCATGGGAATATCACCACTTTTGATCAACAAAATCATCCATAGATGGATGGAAATACAGAAACCATTTGAAATTTGGGATTTTCCCATGGATTTTTAAGAGCCGCTTTAGATGACCCATTCCCAGGCCGCAAACTCAACTGGAGATGCTCCATGGTGGCCTTTATATAGATCTTCCTGCTGCGGACCATCCATTTGAGAATAATCGGGTTGCCAATCTTCGGAAACACCACCAGGTCCCAAACTATAGACAGCAGTGATATCGTGATATCCTCTCCCAAACTAGATCCTACTTGGAAGTCCAGTTCCAGTTCTAAGTGTGTATATATATATATATATCCACAGCAGTTATAGGGGTTACATCCCAACTTGTGGGGGTTTATCCATGGTCATACCCTCAACTGCACCCATCTGCACGTATGTCTTACCACCGTCCGGGCCAGCGTCAAGTACAAGGTGAACGGATTCCCAAAACTTGCTGCGGATTCGCTCAAGACTTGCACGGTTTCCTGGCAAAGTTTGCTTGGATATGCATTCCAGGTCTTCGCATGGACTGCTTGGATATCCCCATTTTGAGAAACAGAAATACATACAGTATGTATATATTATATATTATATATTATATTTTATATATAATAAATAGTTTATATTATATTATATATTACATTTTATATATTATATATTATTTATATAATATATATTTTATATTATATATTGCGAATCGGGGATTGCCTTCCCGATTATATTCCAGTAATTGATGTTGATGTTTGTTGTTCCAGTAATGACTTCACAAAGACGACAGCTTCCGCATGGCGTTCCTTTTCTCTGTTGCTGCAGTGGGTCTTGAGCCAAAAGGGCGATTGTCATACCCTTTGGCTGTGGGTCTTAGAGTGATGAATTATGTGATATTGTACTTTGGTCCGTAGCTTACACTCTATTCGCACCCCCCACGCATAGCCAACTTTGTTGGCTACGCGCAAAGGAGTGTCCCTCGAATTGATCCACTATATTTGCAGCTATTCATTTGTTGAATTATGGAGAGCTAAAGTCCGTTTCAGAACTTCATATCTACATGGCGGCTTGCTACTATCTCTACCAAAAGATTAGGGTTCTGTTCACGTGCATGTAGACACGACGTAGTCGGTGTGTAGCATTGAGGTTCATCCGATGTGGCGTAGCCAGCATGGAATCTCACTCAAGCATGTGAATTAAAGAAATCAAAACACAAAGTTGACTATGGAACTAGAAGTTTACCTTCCCGTCCCTTCGTCGGTTGAGACGTAGACCGCTGTAGAAACTCAGCGTTTCATGCAATGATGTTCAAAAAAAATGTGTGGTTCTAAATTAGTCGGCTCAGAGTCCTCTCAGAAATCATTCAAAATGAAGTAGAGGTAAATCTCGAGCAATGATTGCATCCTCGCATCGCCAGGTTCAATCAGGACCTATGCAGAGGTCAGATCGCTTAATCATCTATATCCCCATCCATAGTATCCCTGTTGGTTCCAGTCTCCGCCACGGTGTGAATAAGATTTTCCACCTTTTCCTTGGTCTTTTCCACCCTTCTTTGGCGGGGTCACTGGAGCTTGTTTTGGCGGAGGAGCGGTTTCAACTGTTCTCCATGTCGCTGACGATGATGCTTTCGCTTTCGACACTCTTCCCAGTGCTGGTGCAGCTTTCGGGGCTGCTTTCGATTTGCCAGCGGCTGGATTGGCACGTTCACGATCAGCAGGAGTCGGGGTATCAGCAATCGCAAGTATGTGAGCTTCAGACAAGTGGATGCCCCACCTTGGTCGTTGATCTTCCCGTTGCTTGATGTGATTGTAGTCATCGATCGCATCATATAGCTTTTGGAGTAGAGGTCGCGGCAATTGTCGGCCATTCTGAAGGATCAGGTGTAAAAGTGATATTCTTCGAAGTGGTGGACGAAGAGCACACACAATGTCAACTGGATTCAGTGTGATTGTGTCTTGAAAGTCAACGTTCCTGAAGAAATAAACAGCATTTACCCTATATGCACCTGCAATGATTCTTCTGACCATGACGTCTTGTCGGTCAAGGGCGTCGCGGGCCGCTGTGGTCTTTCTCATCTCATCCATTGTGGTGTCACGTTTCGACAGCTTCTCCATCTCCTCATCAAAGAATATGTTTTGCAAGTCATCATACGTGTAGCCACATTCAAGGGTATATATGAGAAGTCTTTTGAGTACCACTGCCCCATAGTATGCATTGACGAATCCCTCTTCTCCGATGTCGTCCTTTTGATTTGGTCGGCCGATCTCTTTGTAGAGCTCTTTCATCTGTTGTGCAGTTGGTTCAATGAGTTCACCATTTTCATCCTCGCCCAGGTAAGGTGTTCTTGAGTCCAGGTCCATCCTGAATTTCTGGTTCTGTTGAAAATGTTTCCATGCCGTCTCGATGTCTCCACAGAAGTTCCGTTGGAATAGTCTGTAGATCCTGACGATATGTAATCCAATCTGCAACAGGAGGATCTTGATGAATTCTGGCTGAGCATCTCCAATTGTGCAAGGTTCGATCGGCAGGACCTTTGATCCAAACTCAATCCGCTGCATCCACTTGGGGTACTCAATCACTGCATCACGAGCTTCTCCAGCCTCGTACTCTTCAATGTTGATTTCATCGACCGCTATCTCTTCATCATCGTTCTCATCGGTCGGTTTTCCTTCTTGATTGAGAAATTTGTCGACCTCATCTTGTTCTCTGAAGTCTCTTTTCTCATCATTGATGTCGCCCTTCTTCGAGGCTTGATCATCATCTCCTTCTTCTGGTTGAGTTTCTTGTTCTGGACTCTTCATGGTGACATCATCATCATCTGGCATCACCTCGTCGTCATCATCATCACCTGTCAAATCGATCTTCACCTCCTCCCATGCTTTCTTGACATGGTCTTTGAGATCTTCTTCTCGATGATGCGATTCGGCACTTGGTACTGTAGCCACGGTGATCTTGATTCGTTTCCTCCATCCATGACTCACCAAAAATCCTTTGCACATCACACAAATCGATAATGGCGCAGGGGTCTCCATCAGACATGCGGGGCATAGTCGATGGTCCTCTTTGCTAGGGTGATGAGTGACTGCCAATAATGAAATTGCATCATTCCAATCCGGATGTCCAGGGAACAATCTGTGAGTATGACTGAAGTGACCGGTCCTGATATCGACAAGTTTTCGAAGTTCGTCTAGATCGGGTGATGATTCTTCAGGCACAATGTTTCCAATGAGCTTGTCAAATCGTTCAATGGTGGCCACCCTCTTTGCGCCTTGCACAGAAAGAACAAGTTGATCTCTTCCCTTCGTGATCATGAGACGGTAGTAGTCCTTTTCTCTCCAGTCGTAATACCAAACTGCATCGAATGATTCGAATGGAATTGTTTCTTGGACCAAAATGTGTCCGTCTGCTGATAATCGAGGGGAGAACTTGGCGATGGAATCGTACGTGATGTAGATGTAGACAAGATCAGTTTGATCAATCTTCCTGAATCTCAGCACCATTTGACTTCTCACATCCCACGGCGCGAATGGCACGAAGAACGTATTGATGCGGTCGCCTCCTCCTCCTGGACGTAGTCCTTCTCTGAAGATTTGAGCGATGTTGTCAAATGTGGTGCAATGAAATCCTCCTCCAAGAGTGTATCCTACTCCAGGGTTCATCTGATATGAAGTCTTCTTGTCTTCAATGTGCACACCGCCTTGAACTCTTGAATGCGCCATAGGGGCACGGATTGCCACCGGCCAAAGCCAAATCTCTCGATCTGCTGTGCCGATCTCCAACCTCAGTGTTTGTCGATCAAGTCTAGAGGTCAATCCATCATTGAAGTTGTTCATGATGTGTTCCAACTCACCTTTCGTGACCTTGAGTCCTAGCACTTGTGCTCGGATTCTCTTCGTTTGCTTGTACTCAGTGAAGATCACTCTCTGGAAGTTGTTCCACCTCTCAACAAGTATCGGGTAGTTGACGTAGGTCGTTCCAGCCAAAGTATGTTGGTCTTTCCAAATGGCATCGTACTTCAAGATCGACTCAACATTGACCCATCCTGCCTCGTCGCATGGTAGTCCACGGTGATTTCGACTGTCTCTGACGCAACCCACGGAGTGGCGTAGCGCTGCATTGAATCTTTTTGATAATTCGACCATCCATGGCGGATTTTCCCACTTGTTGCCCATCCACTCATTCTCGCCATGTCGATGCACTTTACACCAGCCCATTCCAAGATATTCTTCTCCATTAATGCGAGCAAGTTGAGGTGTACCAATGTTGTGGCCATGTGTAAATGGTTGGATGTACTTGAAGTTCCAGTTGTCTCCACGTTGTTTTCTTTCTTCAATAAGCCATTTTACATAAGCATCATGATCAAGGGGGTTCCAAGCGTTCAGCTCTTCAATGGTCGGCAAAACAGGCGGGGATTCCTCAGCCGCACGCTCAATCAGCAAGTCAAGCTCATGACGATTCTTCACACCTCGGCTAATTGGGTTGACTTCGACACCATTCACTAAGTATTGTCCTCCTTCTTCACGATCACCAATGTCGTACATAAAGGCTGACTGACTGTAGAAGCACTTGGTCACTTCCTCTTTCTCAGTGAATCTGGTTCTTCCCCAACGCTTTCCTCGTGGCATGACGTTCTTTGGGAGCTTGTCTTTTCTGCCTCTGGTTGCAGCTTTGGATCTTTCGGATGATGATGGGGATTTGGACTTCTGATCCATGATCAACCTCATGCGCCATATGGTGTCCTTCATGTTCTCATCATCTGGTGTAGTACATTCGTCAATGCCATGCCTTCCACCACAAATGAAACAATATTGAACATCCAATGCATCTGAAATCAGCTTCTCAAAACGATCACGGATGTCACGCACCTCGGTTCGGCGCTTCTTCGCTTCTGAAGGTTGTCCCCCCATGCCATCTTCCTCCTCCTCAATCTCGATGTCACCAGCTCCGGCATCGGTTTCTCCTGAAGTTTGTTCTGCTCGAGGGCCCCGCGCCGTAGGCGTCGTGGTCTCCTCATCAGGTTCATCAACTTCATCCACCTCTTCATCGCTTGATGAGACCTCAATCATTTCAGGGTGGTCATCGTAGTTGGCTTCTGGGAGCACCGGCATTCTGGTGATCTTCTTCTGCATGAGTAGGTCAAAAATTCCTGCTTCTTTCAAGATTGTAATCACCATGTCATTCTCGACCGGCGGGATGTATGCTTTCCTGGATCGGTTTCGCTTTGTGTTGATGGTGTCGGTAGGTCGACATGAACTGCTGAATAGCCAAAACGACTCTTCCAGTCCTGCGAGGCAACTGTCAAGGTTTGCCCCCCATCCAGCGAACATAGTAGGGAATTGAATACCCAGATCAAGCATTCCAAGCCAGAATTCGAAAATGTCGCCGACATACTCAGCTGTTGCAGTTGGATTGATCATTGATTCGATCTCCTCCTTGGTCAGCACGGTCTTCATGTAGTCATGATAAGCGACGTTTCCACCATCCCAAAGCAGTCTGTAAAACCATCGCATTCGGTGCATTCCGCCTCCGCAATCCTCTGTCCGAGTTTCGCGTTGTACAGTGAACTGGGGTAACAGGTCTCGTCTGCATTTCCCTTTCACCATGTATGCAGGCATTCGGATGGCACCTCGATGTGATACCTGCTTGAGCACATCGCTTGTAGTCCTGTATCCTGAAAGCATTGCAAGTGTCGCAGTGACCAGGAATCCACGGAGGTCCTTCTCGGCTTCCATCTCTCTCCAGTCAACGCACTCATTGTAGATGTTGAGCAATCTTGCAGCTACTCTTGCATCCTGTGAAAATTCATCCATCCCAATGTCATCAGTACCGTAGATCGCCGCTCTTGTCCAGTTGCTTGCGCAATTCAGGCATCTTGTGCGGTTCTCAGTGCAGGTATTCAATCTCGAATCATTCTTGTGAAATCCTTTGCACACATCGCACATCAATTCGGAATCTTCGGTTACTTCGACCCAATGCTCATCCACATCTGTCAGGGGCTCCGGGGTGAATACTCCTCGTCGGATGTCTGACCATGCTCTCCTCTGGACCGCATCCTTCATGTGTTTCATTCCTCCAATGATGTTTGCTGATCCAGCTTGAGCATCTGTGACTTCTCCAGCACGGATGCTGGGAATGACTCGCGGATGTTCTGTGCATCGTTTGATGGTTTCAATGTCAAATCCGGTGTTCTTCACATGGACACATTCTTCATTCAGGTCATGGACTGTATCATGATCCATTGCACAATGTAAGAAGACTTTCTGTCGCATCAATGACTTTTCAAGCATAGCCCAAATGACTTCCTTGCCTTCACCTTCTTTCCAATAAAAAGGTTCACGTCCACAAGCATATATCTGTTTCCAGAATCTTTCATTGGTGGAGTGAATAATGCCCTTTTCCTTCAAGATTCTTGCAAGCTCCTCGGCCATGGATACAATTGAAGATTGTGACCCAAGAAACCGGGCATCTCTCAGAATGTTGACGAAAATTGGAAGATGAGCTGCTTGGCTGATCTCAGTGATGATCTCCGCCAATTTGGTGACGAAGTCTGCATTTGGCATCAGTATGCGAGTCTGTCCTCTGAAAAGTGCTGCAAAAGAGATCCACTTAGAGGCTCCAACGTTGCACAAAGGACAACAGATCCAACAGGAGACATATACCGTTGTCGTGAGGATCGGACGATGTCGTGAGGAGATCCCGAGAAGATAGGGATAGATGCATAGAAGTGAAAAAAAGAAAAGCTTCTTTAGACTTTGAGACATTTAGGGTTTATAACGACACCGTTTAGGGTTTATAACGACACCGCCGACATTTTAGGGTTTACAACGACACCGTTTAGGGTTTAAAACGACACCGTCGACATTTTAGGGTTTACAACGACACCGTTGTTTACAACGACACCGTAGGGTTTATAACGACACCGTCGACATTTTAGGGTTTACAACGACACCGTTTAGGGTTTATAACGGCACCGCCGACATTTTAGGGTTTATAACGACACCGTTGTTTACAACGACACCGTAGGGTTTATAACGACACCGTCGACATTTTAGGGTTTACAACGACACCGTTTAGGGTTTATAACGACAGCGCCGACATTTTAGGGTTTATAACGACAGCGCCCAAACAAGCCACATATACGACGCATCTACAACACCGTTCAAGCTATGCGCGACAAGTTTCGGCTGACTTCCGAATCAGTCTAGAACTCTTGGAAATTTTCCAAAGACTTCATCGCGGTAGAGGAAAAAGTGCCATGATTGTCATATGCACCAAAGATGCAATAAAGTCAAGCAAGCACTGCATAGTTGATCTACTTGAGCCAGCTAAAACAATACTACTACACCTTTTCCCTCGTAGGTGTGGACGCCGGTGGGAACAAAACATACATACATACATACATACATACATACATACATACATACATAAATACATACATACATATATATATATATATATTTATGTGTGTATATGTACTTACAGATATAGATAGATAGATAGATAGATAGATAGATAGATAGATAGATAGATAGGTAGGTAGGTAGGTAGATAGATAGATCAATAGATAGAAAGATAGAAAGATAGAAAGATAGAAAGATAGAAAGATAGAAAGACAGGAAGATAGAAAGATAGAAAGATAGAAAGATAGAAAGACAGGAAGATAGAAAGATAGGAAGATAGAAAGATAGAAAGATAGGAAGACAGAACGATAGAAAGATAGAAAGATAGCAAGATAGAAAGATAGAAAGATAGAAATATAGGAAGATAGAAAGATAGAAAGATAGAAAGGTAGAAAGATAGAAAGATAGAAGGATAGAATAGGATAGAATAGGATAGGAAAGGATAGGATAGGACAGATAGATAGATACATAGATGGATGGATGGATAGATAGATAGATAGATCGATAAATATATGTATATGTTTGTATTTACATATGTATGTGCGCAAATATAAATATATCTGTGTGTATGACATTTACTCATATGCATTGTTTTTCTTTGGTGGTCGTACGCAGTTGTGCTAAAAAACATATTGAGACACACCATTATTTTGATTTTTTGGTTGGTCACTTTCCCAAATCAATGTTGATCATTGGACCATGCAAATGTTTTGGTCTGACACAAAAGTCCCACATGCAGGGTTTCACTTCAAACCCAAATTTTAAAAAACAAGTTCCATCCAAATTAACTAACACCACTTGAAAATCATTGGTGATTGGTATGGAATCTACCCGTTTTGGGTTCCCACGCTGGTGGTGTTTAATGATGCAAGGACATGATTTTTTGAATCTAACTGATTTCGGGCCTTCCGACCTGTTTGGCTGCATGTTAGCCCGGGATGCAATGGCACTGTGGATTTGTCAATTCATATAGAAGATAAAGTTGCTTACACCTAGTTGGGGTTCAAACCCACCCAAAAAAAAACCACAACATCCACACCCAAACTAATAACAAAGTCAGCACACAACAGATCCCGAGACCGTTCCAACGCTGGCTGCTGGCCATGGTTGGTGAAGCTGGTTTGCTGTTTTTCTTCGGTGGCCTGTCTTCAGCTCCGTGGCTGCAATACAACCCTGCAGCAGTCCGTATGGACAACCCTGCGGTGTCAGTTCTTTCCATCCAAAAGGTGCCCATAGTGAAATTCATAGAAAACATGTTTCAAAGGGTATTGCCCAACACTTGGATTGAAATCCTTTTCCTTTGGGAGAACTGCCACAAATGGCCTTAAGCCAATTTGGCCAAATAGCCACTGAGGGCAACGAGGTACCTCTCTATTGCTCTTTTCTGAACTGTACTGCCGTGGCAACGGCAAGCAATCCTTTTAATGGATCCCAAAAATTTTTCATCGGACCAAACGTGATGAATTCTAGGGTTAACCCTTGTTTTCACCACATCCCTGGCAATGTGCCAAACGTAATGGTGTTTTGGCCTCATTTTAAAGGCTTTGATTTGCTGACCCCAACACCACGATGCCAAGAACTCAGTTGATCGAAGATGGAGGTGCAACATCCTTGAGATTTCCTAGGCCGTCAATGCAATAGCGGGGACCATTTGCCAAAGAGACTATTCTGAACTCACCCTACAGCCCAAACGGGTATGTACAGATTGTTCATTTATATGTGTTTATTTTTGCATATATAGTTAACTCCAAATGTTGCACATGTATACATGTATTGTATTGTATTGTATTGCATTGCATTGTATTTGTATTGTATTTGTATTGTATTGTACTGTATTGTATTGTATTGTACTGTATTTGTATTGTATTGTTTTGTGTTTTATTGTATTGTATTTGTAATGTGCTGTACTGTACTGTACTGTTCTGTATGGTACTATACCGTACTGTATGTATGTATGTATGTATGCATGCATGCATGTATGTATGCATGTATGGGCGCATGCATGGGGATGGCAGTATAGGCGTTTTTCTACGTTAAATGCTTTGTCCGTAGGGGATCGTTGATAGAGATCGTCTTCAACATCAGTAAATAGATCTTTAACGCCAGTACATGGATTCCATCAACTTCATGGGAAATTTTGGAGTCCCCTCCCTGGAAATCTGAAACTTTCAAAGATCTTTGATACATAAATGACATACAAAACAAGGGGCGCTTGCCTCCTCCGGGCTCAAAACCAAGCCGGCATTGTCCATCAGTTCTTGCGCTTTGGCCAAGGCGTGGCTGCACACTTGCAGGAGTTGCAAGACACGATCGTCCTTGGAGACTTGACATGGCCGTTGGGCAGGAGGTAAAAGCAGTATGGGGGCCATTGCCTATGCCAGGATAAAAATTCTTGCTATACAGATCATATAATGATATTCAAAATCAAGATTCTGACTTTTTTGTAAGCTGTTGCACTTTGTAAGCGACCCACCACACCATCACTCGAATGTGAGCAGCTTTGAACCGGGAACCAAGTTCACAGTAGTCATCAGACCCGAAGGAACCACAGTTGGTTACGCTCAAGACTCTGCGGGGCAAGTAGATCCTTAAATTGTTCGCTCATGCGATCCCTGTCCGAAGGAGAAAACTTGACAAGTAGACCACTGTTGATTCATGCAGTCCCTTTCAAAGTTTTGTGGGTTAAACATGTTTGGCAACTAAAATCCAAAAAAATCTTTAAATTGCTACAAGGCGCTTCTGCTCTGTGCAATCCTGCTTCATTTCGATGCTAACTCGTTTGAGGAACATTTCATCAGACTCCCCTGCGTCATAGTGATAGCCATAAAGCTTTAGGATCTTGAGGCAAGACGGAATATGGTTTTTGGCTATGCCCAAGTAAACCAGATGCATCATGTCAAAAGAAGCAGTTTCAATCTGAAATCCTGGGACCGCACACCACGGCGACGGTTGCCTTGCTGTGCGCAAGTACTCGTCATGATCCTTGCAGGTTGCTGCATAAGGGGCATCTTTGGCAGTGTTTTTGTAGGTCATCGGATGTGGGGTTGAATCCATTGGTTGTATGGCCAGGCACCGGTCACAACACTTTTTGCAGCGGTAATAGTTGTCCAATCTGTGACACTGCCATCGGGCTTTCAAGTCGGCCTTGAAAGTCATGTACAGCAACCTTCAGCCGGCTGAGGGTGCCAATGACCAATTTGGTTTGGGGCTGAATGAATCCCAACCTAATACAGACAAATGATATGTAAAAAGTCAAAAATGTTTCTTTTCAAGAAGCTTGAAACCACCTGCAATCTGTTTCCCGCAAAGGGTGGACCTGTAGGTGTTGGCCTCAAAAGATTCACCATAGAAACCACGAGTGGGATATATTCCCCGGGCTGCACAGCAAAGGCTCCATGCCACCACATCCGCCAAAACCTGGTTGACTTCTTGTCGTACCTCATGCTCGCGTGGGCATTTTTTGAAATTACTTGCATTATTGCATGCAGAGACTGATAAGCATTGCAATCTTAAACAGAATCAAACCCAAATGAAACCATACACACACATGCACTGCCTTGAACTTTGAACTGTAATCTTCCTTGGCTAGCCCTGGGGATGTTAATGGTGGCTCGCTCCCTGAAGTTGAAAATTCAAATCACACATATCTTCGAGGGTTTGATCATGTAAAAAGAACGCTTTTCCATCAAGAGCCAAAGATCGTCATCATCACTCATGTGGGCTTCAGCAACCAAGGAAATGGGGTACCGGCTCATTAAATTGTCATTCCCAGAACCTGTTTGGAAGGCAGAAGTCCAGCTCATGACAAAATACTCAGAATTCCTATGAAATTCAGCACCATCCCCATGGATTGCAAACGGGATGGTCTGTTTCAACTCCTCCTCAGTCAAACCATGGAGCACTTGGTGGTACTTGTAGTCCGGCAATGTTCGGAGATGTTTCCAAAAACTGGCTATGGACTCACCGCCATGGTCCCCACACATCATCGAGCGAAACTGGCAGGGTCTACTCTGATGATGGGTTTATACTTATTCGACCTATATATTTGCAGGTGTTTTCATATGGCGGATAGCCAGATACCCCATACTGATGGTAAATTAATTATACACATGAACATAACACTTAAAACATTGCATTCTGGAATCATATTTTTGAAACACACCAACTCTGTCGTGTTGTATATGTTTCTGATGGGACCCCCTCTGGTCTACTTTTATGGTTGTTTTTTCCAAGCGCTTAGAAATTAAAACTATACGCATTATAGCTGCGTTGTGTTCATGTATAGCAACCTTCAAATAATAGAACCGTGTTTCTATAGAATGGTGTAAACACAAAATTTATGTCATATGTCTGGGCTTCTAACTTTTCTATCTTTGGGGGGTTACTATATGTGCCCAAAACAGGATTTGAATGAAACACACGTGAACAAGATCTTGGATCAATTTGGCACTCTGGTCATACATACCTGCCTTGTGTTTTGAAACGCTGTGCAAAGCCCCAAAGACTTCATGAGGGAGAAGCACGCTTGCCTCAACAACCCGAGGATCTTCGTCTTGCTCTACCTGGGCGGCGCCGATTCGTGTTGAGAATCTCGGTGGTCGTTGAATTGGGCATGGAAAATGGGAAACTAGATTCAGAAAAAATGACTTGTTTATCTGAGATACTTGCAACCTCAACTTGATGTTGTATGGCTGCAGCTGCAACCCATTTGCCCCCCGCAGCAAGCGCTGGAAATCCCTTTCGGTGTTTTGATTGTGCTTTCCATGGGAACCACAAGCAGCCAGTTGTCGAACCCCCTGGTGAATTTTATTGGAGGATGAGTCTGCTTCCACAGCCCTTGCAATTTCAGCAGCAGTTTCCACATGAGCTCCACCCCGACCAACCAGGTCTAACAGGGTGTCCAACAATAAACTCTTTCCTGATGCAATGGGCTCCCGCTTGCACCTCTTAACATTGTATCCATTTCCTGGCAAAACGGTTTGGCAGATGAACTACCATACTTGTTCTATGGCAGGGCTGAAATATGATACATCCCTTTGTCAAATTGCTCGTGGAAGTAAACCAGTTTCTCAAACAGTGATACTGCAGCAGTACTGGAAGTGAATGGTGATAATCTAACAAAACAATTGAAAGGCGATCTAGACAGAAAAGGGAATCACATGTTCTCACATAATGAAGCCTGATTGATTGAGCACCTTTTTTTCGGCAGGAAGCTTTGTCACAATCTTGAACTCCCAAACGCATGCTGCTTCAAGCATGGCTAAACCCAAAGATTTTTGTTCAAGAAAAGTCTCACATCTAAGTTGCCGCTTTGGCCTTAGCTTTGCCTTTGGCCTTCGCCTTTTTGTCATTCAAGCCCTTCAAAATCCCAGATGCCGATGCCTCAGGGCGCAATCCACTAACAGCAAGTGTAACTTAATTTGATTATTCTCATTTAAAGTAAACATCAGTAAGAGTTGCTGGGTCCCATCAGCACATACCTTTTGAAAATGCGTGATGTTTTCAACACATGGGAAAAGGAACCGAAACATTGCTTTCCCTAGAAACCTCTTTGTTGTAAAAAAAACCGGCCTCCGCTTTCTCATACCACTTCTGATTGAGTTGGATTTTCCCGATGGTGTGGGACACTTTTTTTTCATCAGGGGGGTCCAAGCTCAAGTGGTTCTTCAGCTCAGTGTAGAGGTTCTCCATAAAAGTCCCATGCTTGAGTAACTGGGATGCTAGCTCATCTGCAAACTGCATTCCCTTGAGCTGAATGCTCTTCTGACGCGCCTTGGTCGCCTCATCGAGGACTGGTTGCAAAAGCTCCTTGCCTTGCCTGGGCGAAGCCGGCTGATGCTGCTGAGATCAGAAACTTGGAGGTTGAAAGATGCTTGGTGACCGGAAAGGTTTGTGGGAAAGGACACTGAAGACTTATATTGTATCAAATGACTTATACTGGGAAACACATGTTATTGAATGTTTGGAAGTAAATGGAGTTTTGGAAACCCTGATGATTGGAGTTTTAGAAATCTGAATGGATTTTGGGGTGATAAGTTGGAAAATGGCAATACTTGTGAATACAAGAAGCTATATACAATATGTATATATACAGGTACTATATTGTATGATGATTTAGTGCACATCTAAAATAATATATATATATATTATTATTATGATTATTATTATTATATATATATTTATATATACAAATATAATGTGTATATACATATATTAAACGAATCATATTTATATATTATACATATTACTATTTTGATTTCAGAATAGATCATATACTATATAAAAATATTTGATATATTTTACATATTATATATTAAATATGATACATTTTAAATATTGAATATATTAACTATACTAACATACTAAATCTACTATATTTCAGTATTATATATATACCGGTGTATCTCATAGAAAGAAGAAAAAACTTGTATGTGTATGTATGTATATGCTTCTGGTGGTTTTGTCCTCAAGATAACCCATTGCCATAAACATATCAAAACCCCATTTGCACCCCGCCAGGATGAAGTGGAAATCCATTTCGCTCATTGCTAAACACTAACAGAACACATGAATATATCTAAAATAACTGCACACCCAACATGAAGTGGACCCCATTTCACGGGTTGCCAGAAACAAGAGAAGAATGTCAGGGAATGTTTTTTTTGGGGGACTCAAGAAATTGTAATGTTTTTTTGAGGCCCTGGCTCATGGACGGTCTTCGGAGTAATCTTTTCTGCCTCACCTCCCTTGGGCTTTGGAATCTTTTTCGGTTTTGGAACTGCCTTGGACTCGTCACCCAAGGCAGAAGCAATTGCTCTTTGACCACCTTCAGACGCGGCCTTGATATGCGGCAGGGCGCCGCTGGCAAGGACTCCACCCTCGTCAGCTGTCAGGGCGTTGAACAAGGTTTCATCAAGCTTTTTGGTGGCTCTGGCCTTCACAGAATCAGAAACCAAGTCATCCTGTCGGACTAGGCGACCTTTGGGCATGTAGATCCAATTCTCCTGGATGGCAAGTCACATTGAGGGGCAATTCGGGAAAACACTTGAAGTTTGAGATTTTAGATGCTTGGTTTTGGGATTGAACAAAGTGAAAGCTGTTGAACAAACATGTGTAAAATACCCGCTTTCAGAACCTCTCTCCTCCGGGTCTTCTGGGAAATCAAGATCCTTGTAGTACAGTCCAGCTTCAGTCCTTTTCTTGATGAGCTCGTCGAACTTGCTTGTCTCCATCTTTTCTCTCAGCTCTTTAGCCTGAACGGCGCACCATTCAGACCTGGACAAGTTGGTGCTCTCAGATCGTCTTTCTACCTCACATTGGACCCGGTCCCAGTCTTCCTGGAAGTCCAGCCACAGCCCGAACAAATCGGTTTTTTTCTTTCTCAGCATGGTCTGCAGAGCAGCCGGAAACTGACCCCCCTTGGTCTGTCGGTCAAACCTGTCCCACTCTCTTTTGTTGGTTTTGCCTCAGCCGGGCATCGGTGATAAGGAACAAAAGCAACATGATTTCACAGCAATGGCGCTGACAGATGCTTTACATATACATATATATATATATGTGTGTGTGTGTGCAAGATTCACACATATTTGCATATCTGTATAGAATATGCGTTCTTGGCTTGTAGACATTTGTCTATATATATATACACATATCCAAAGATACATTGGGTTTACATTTGCCTTTCAACGGACGGTAGTTTTGATGCAGTGTCGCAACAAGAAACATGGCAAAGTGGAATGTGTTTCCTACACTTTTGAATTTCGGGGCCACACCCATTTTCACATCAGTACAAGTTGCTGTTTCGGGTCGTGCTTGCAATTGCTGCTTTCAAAGTTCCATCCTCTGCACCTCCTTCATCTTTGTCTGGGTTCGTTGCTTCCGATTCTTCCCCTGACTTTGCTTGGCGTGTTCCCTCTAACTCATCACTGCTTGGATCGGTGGCAGCTTCATCACCTGGATCACTTTCATCTGATGAGTCACCCGTTGGGCTTGGCAAATCTGGTTGGTCAGCCGCATCTTCTTCACCATCCTGCTCCTCTTCATCATCCTGCTCCTCTTCATCATCTTGCTCCTCTTCATCATCCTGCTCCTCGTCTTTGTCTTCATCATCGTTCTCTTCATGGTCTTCATCTTGTTCTACTTCTTCCTCTGCTTCCTCCTCTTCTTCATCTTCGGCTTCTTCAGCCTCGTCTCCTTCCTGCTCCTGTTCCTTCTCCTTTGCAGTCTCATTCTTGTCATTTTGTGCTGTGCGCAAGCCATCTAGTATGCAGGACATGGAAAGGCCAGCGCAGTCCAAGTGAGCATTGTCTTCAGCTTCCTTGACAGCATCACTAAGATCGCCCCTCAGCGTCTGGAAGTGAGCTTCAGCTCTCGCTTGGTTGCCTTTGTAGCGGGCAGAGCTGGCATCAGTCTTGATGCTGGATGTGCTGTCAGTAGGTGACTTCATGCGCAATCTTTTCTGTGGTGGTGTAGTAGGCGTAGGCGCAGGAACAGTTGCTTTCTTCAACTCAGCTTCCAACATCTTCTCTCTCTGCTTCTGCTCTTTGTTTGCCTGTGCCTTGCCTGCTTTTTCCAACTCATCTGCATTTCTTTGCGACTTGCTATCTGTATTGGTGCTCTGTGTGTTCTGGACTTCTTGCCTGCTCTTCTTCTTCTGGACCTCCTCCTTCTCTGCAGATTTCTCCTTCTTTTCCGCCTTCTCCTTCCTTTCGCATTTCTCCTTCTCATTGCTTTTCTCCTTTTTGTCTTTGTCCTTCTTTTTGTCTTTGTCCTTCTTGTCCTTCTTGTCCTTCTTGTCCTTCTTGTCCTTCTTGTCCTTCTTGTCCTTCTTGTCCTTCTTGTCCTTCTTGTCCTTCTTCTCATCGGTCTCTTTCTTTTGACATGTCTCCTTCTTTTCAACTTTCTCGGTCTTTTCAGCTGCTTTGTCCTTCTTGTCTTTCTCCGCTACCTTTGTAGACTTGGAAGTATCATCCCCAGTCTTCTCTTTCTTTTTTCCCTTCTTCTCCTTAGTCGACACCCTTTTCCTCGAAGAAGAAGCCCCAGAGGCTTGATTGGCACTATTTGCCCGTCTCAACACCTCAGACTGCAACCTTTGGACCTTGTCTTGTCCTTTGCTTGCACTCTTAGCCATGAGCTTTCCTGGATTGGTGGGACCTTTGTTGGGCTTTCTCAAAGCTGACTTACGCACCTGGGCTGTAGCAGCCTGCTTGGCATCCTTCTTTGTTTTGGCCATCCCCAACGAGGGACAGCAGGGATAAAGATCCCCAGGGAAAAACTTTCTGAGCAAAAAAGGCGAAGCGCATATATAGGTTCGGAAGCAATTCTACAGATCGCAGTAGGTCGCAACAGATCGCACTAGAATCGCTCCAGATCGCACTAGTGAATTTAACAAAAAATACAAAAAATTAATCATTTTTGCGCAAAATGGAGTGTGTGCAAACTTTTTGGTACCTCGAAGCCTTTGAAAGCCTTACAACACACCAGTTGGAATCGGGGCCCACCCCAAACACCAATCCTGGCCTCTGTTGGGAGCGCTTCTTTTAAGAACCAATCTTCCCATGTTCTCACCTGCGTGGGTCGGAACACTTAAGATGTTTGAGAGTGGGCATATCTTTATGCGGGTGGGGATATCTTATCAGATCAATATAATTCTTGGTGTTTTTGGTATATATATATATGTGTGTGTGTATATATATATCCATGATGAACTGTAGAGAGAAAAGTAGCCCAGAAATGAAGATCCGACAACATGTTGGAAATTAACATTCATGCCTCTAATCCCCGCAAAAAAAAACTTTGGTGGGCTGGCAATTGACACATGTTGTCCCTGTTTTCCCCAATTGTAAGCCTGTGGCTGAGATGAAATCTGCTAATTTTGTATGTGGGTATTCCACATCAGCTAAATTTGCATAGGGACCCTTTTATGGGCTTTACCCAAGGATCATTGCCGGGCTAAAAAGGCAAAGATAGGTTGGAGGTTCGCATGCTCCATCCAGAAGTTGCTAACTTTGTCATCCATGTCCAGCTTGAGAAAACCCTCCGCTGCATCGCGCAGGAAGCGATGTGCTGCACGACGCTTGGCCTTTAGATGAGCGGTCCTCACCCTTGCAACTGCACGGCCAAACCTTGGAAGGAGAGATGTGTTGGAATTGTTGGGCCCATTGGTTGGACCTTCCCTTATTTCTTGGGGTTCTGTATTTTTCACTCGGGGATTAAATCCAACACATAAATTCGTACAACACAAAAGTCCCTGGTGAAACCCAAGAACAACTTGGGGTAGCTTTGCGACCCCTTCAGAGCTGCTCCACCTTGGATGCGAGACTTGCCACTGGAGTCTGTGTAATGCCTCACCATGTCAGGGTTGGCAGGACGTAGAGATCTGTTAGCAAAGTTGTTAATCTCCACCACCTCTGGCTCGCCTTGGGAAAGGGAATCAAGGCTGGATAGGAAGCAATCTTGGTTATGCGCCACCCAGACACATGACAAAAATGTCCCCGAATATGCACTACTATTTTATCTCTGTTCAGAAATCACCCCAATGTTTGAATCTTTCGGGAAATTTTCAAATAACAATGTCGTGCTAAGATATCTAGAACATGGGGGCCCAAGCAAGCTGGTGGTTCTAAGACACCATCAAAATCAACATGGGGGTCAAATCTCTTGCAATCAAGATCTGGTATGAACAGACCAAGGTGCTACTGTAAATCCAAACAGGCTTCATTGAATCAGCCCCAAAATGCCCCAGGCTGCAGCAGACTCGGCTCACCGAAACTTGCAAGAGTCTCAACATGCGTTGAAACAGCACATGACCTTCTAGAAGAGAACCTTTTGGTTGCTCTAAGCACCACCAGACCTTCTTTGCCATGGCGAGTACAAGTAAGCAAACCACTCTGCCAACCATTATGTTGTGGCTCCCTGTTGCTCCCTGGCCATGGCCCATGGGGTTACTGGATGTTCGACCAGTACTTCCTCGAGACCTAAGTGGATCTCTAAAGGTCAAACACCAAAAAAATCATTTGTCAAGCACCTGATGGATCATTAGATCAAATAAAACGAAGCCTACCTAAACCAAAATTTGCATATAGCAAAGCTACAAGAAGACCCATGTACTGCACACCGGTGCAGCCCACAAGTGTGAACCGGGTCGTAGGTTCAGCACATGAAACAACATGTTGGAGAAGCCAGCATCAGTCATGATGTCCTGGTGTGCCCCGAAGCGGATGTCCATTGGAGTGGCTTCACGGGACTCCTGCACACAAACAGGCAGCACAAGGTAGACAAGAATGCAAAGTTTGTGGGATAAGACCAAAATGCGAAAACTATCTGGTGATGGGTTTCACCATGGGCATTTCTCGAAGTGAGGTCAATGAACCAAAGGTAAACAAAGGTAAACAATCACCGCAATCCACACAAACCAGGGAGGTCGTAGCTTGGGATGTTGGTGTCACGTGCAACTTCTTATTGGTTTGATACCCAAAACATGGCCTCCTAACCTGACATTTTGGTGAGGAATGCAATCCAATGTTTAGAGGCTTCAAAATGGAGGGCCCAGAAATGAGGTACCCGGGTCAACAAGAAGCTTTGGATATAGGGGTACAATTTCCAATTCTGTTTGGCTTCCACTCTTCTTGGAACACCATGAAAATGAACATTCTTTGGTGGGTCTAAATTCCTCGTGGTGCCAGTCCAAACACACACACACATTGACATAGAACTACATCTACCATTCGCTAGGATGATGGTTCTACTTTCAAATCTGTTTGGATTCCACTCTTTTTGGGTCCCAATGAAAATGTACATTTTTTGGCATTTTTTGGTGGGTCCAAATTCCTAGTGGTGCCAATTAATCCAAAGACACGCACACACACACCACACACACACACACACACGCACATTGACATAGAACTACATCTACCGTTCTTTAAGATGATGGTTCTTCTTCGAATTTTCTTTGGATTCCCTTCTTTGTGGAACCCCAAAAAATGTACAATTTTTTGGTGGTCCAAGTTTGTTTGGATGGCGGTTCGACAAAGTTTTTGGCCCCCAATAGAGATACGTAAGCCCAGTTTATTTCTTGATTGTTTACCCCTTTGGGTGTTTGGGTTGATGGTTCTAATGTTTGCTTATGGGCATCTAATTTGTGGTCCTTCCACTCACCCCTGGTAATGCTGCAATCGCCAGCAAAGAGCTCCACCGAATCACCCGGTGAGCTCCAATCAAGGGCCGGGCAGGAAAACATAGCGGTCACCAACATCACCAAGACCTGCCAATGGCATGGAATCCAAGTGTAAAACCAACACAGGTATACATTAGATTGTGGGACTATTTTTTCCTAGTTTTGACCAACGCTTGTAACTTTAGATCGCATTAGATTCTGGGATTATTTCTTCCTAGTTTAAACCAACACTCATTACATTCTGGGTTTGTTTCATCCTAGATTAAACCAACACTGGTATTAGATTATGGGATTGTTTCTTCCTAGAACCCCAGGTATTTCGGTTGGCCAACTTGTGAATCCAAGGATTTGGACAACCAGACCCATGGAGCATGGAGAGCTCGAAGGCCAGCAAGGGTGAAACTGCGCTGCTTCCCCTTCCATGTCGTAGGGCTCCTTTTCTGGCCACCACCCTGGTAGGGCATCTTCCTGTTGGCTTCTCGGGCCTTCTGAGGGATTCCCTTCTGAGAGATTCCCTTACCCATGTCAAAGCGAGGTGTTGGTGGATAAAATCCTTTGCAAAGGTCCCTTGATCCAAGATTGACTAGTGCATGCAAATGGTATTTGGTTTCTCCAAGCTGCTAGCCACCGGATTGTACATGCTGGAAAACATGCTGGTTTCTGGCTAACATGTTGTGCATATGTTTCACATGCTACAGCCCCCGGCACCTGGGTCCCTGTTTGCGCAAGGCACTGGGTATGGCACCTCCACCTTTGCACCTTCGCTTTCAATGGCCTGGCATGGATGACTCCACGCAACTGCTTCGAAAGTTCCATGGAGTTGGGGGCCAACAAGTGGTTCAAACCATGTATAGGTAATGGCGTTTTCATGATGGGTCTTTATGCCTTTGTGATATTTTGGGATGACAACTCTTTTATGATTTTTGATAAGGAAATAGATGTCTGGTCAAGGGGTCTCAAAACAAAGATTTGAGCGATGTCCCCAACAAGCCTCATGCCACAGTGTTGGGCCCAAAGGTTGTCCTGCGAGGGGTAAAGTGCTGACTACCATGACCACTACACAATTTTGGGGGGCAAAAACCTTACACTAAAAAAAAATATATATGTATGTTTGTATGTTTGTATGTATGTTTGTATGTATGTATGTATATATATATATATATGTCACAAAAACATATCAGTGTACTATTCTGTACACTCGAGGGACACTATAGGTGGGGATGCCTTTCAAATTATCAGTAGGTTTGTAAGCATACTAAGTATTGGGGTTCCACACCGAAAGCTGTGCAATTTTCCACCAGGGTTGTGCCCATGTATAATGTCAACCCCGGATTAATAAACCATGGTTTATTAATTAGGGGGGTACTCCCCAAATAGTCATAATGAAATACTTAAATGGTACCCTACCAATTAAACAGCCTAGGAGTTTATTAATCCAGGGTTGACATTACCCCATATCCACACCCTCACAGTAGGAGAATTAATGGGCCGTTGTTTTTCGCTATTCTTCTTTACAACGTTTTGTGGTTTTAGTGGCTTAGTAAAAATATTGGAGACATCAGCATTGCAGCACCCCTGCATGCGCAGTGTCCTCTTGGTTTCAAGCTGCATATGCCACCTGCCATGAGTAGCGAAGTTAAAAGGTTTTGAGGTATTTGTTGAAACCAGGAATGGAAAGTACCAATGCTGAGCTACTTGGTTGATGAAAACAATGTTGGGCTTGGAGCGACAACTATATTATCCTGGAAAAAATGATGGGTGTTGACAGTGCTGACTTAACACTTGACACTGGTACTTTCTAGCAGGGTGGCCCAAGACACATGGACCCCTCAGATAAATTGGGATTGCCAACCCAAACTGCAATACATTTCCAATCTTGTGTGCCCATTGTTGCCTCCCACAGCAAATTGGGTCCACTGAAGGGTAGAGGTCGGCTGACCTGCGCCGGGACAAGCATCTGAGGAATGGCAACTACTTGTGGCACTACGATCTGGTGGCGACATCTGGCACTGGTATTTGCACTAGCCTTTCGCTGCAGGACTTTTTCCGGTGAATCTGATGGCTCAACTACATAAACTGAAGGGCTGATTTTAAGAATCTTCCCTCAACAATCTCAGGTGGCAGCTGTAACTGGCTGAAGCACAAGATGTTCAAAAGTTCCAGTGTTTGCATTCCATTTTTCTTGGCATTCCCAATGAACAGTGACAAAATGATGGTTGCACGTTTTAGGCTGCAACTGCTCTATCCTGAGAGTTTCCCATGATGAAACCATTGCACTTCTGATTTCAAGAAGTGTTCGCAACCCCACCTACTCTAGCATATGCTGCATATACAGAGTATTTCCACCAGATAAGATCCTACGGTAAGCTATCAGACCCAGCGTGCAACCTTCTTGCACGCTGCCCAACATTTGAAAACCCCTCCATGTTTCGCCCATGTGTACTGCCCTTTGGCAGCAGCATCACCCTCACGCACTCCCCCACCAAACCGCTTCACGACAAAAGCTCGTGACTTGAGGAGAACTTCGATCGCCTCGTTTCCAGGATGAGGCAAGCAAGTCCGGGGTGTCCTGGAGTCACCATCATAGTTCCTATATTTATGTATGTTTGGGCAAATATCATAAGATTGTACTAATAGAATGCAAGTGACTGCACCATTTGATGCCTTGATGGTGTACCCATGCTTTCCGTTGTTCTTCCCCGGCTGTGGCCATGCTGATTTTGGTAACTCGCGTAGACTGTACCCTTTGAATGACGTCTCATCATCCATGTCTTCATCTCCCGGGGGTGAAGCTTTTGATTTAAGCTTTTTCGATGCCGGTTTCTTAATGTTGGTTTCTGGGGCCCCACCACCGTCCACATCTTGTTGTTCTCGAAAGCGCTTGAGTCCAGTAGCCTGGGACGGGGCAAATATTGGGCCGTGAGTTCAGTACATTCAGTTCAAAATATGTTCAGATATGATTTCAGCTAAAACTTACATAAAAAGATTCCGTTTCTTACTTAACTAGCCACAAGTTGAAGAGAAAGAAAAAATGTTTCTGAAACAGGCAAACAACTGTCTGCATCCCAATTGGAGGTGGTGTCATGTTTGAATCCAACTCCTTCTCAAGGGTTTTCAAACCAGCAGGAGGAGTTTCAAGCACTGGAGTTCTTCCACTGGGCTCACCCGTGTAGGCACCCCTTTCGTTCCCCTCATCGAAAGCATTCTTCCTCATAAGCTGGCACAAATGGCCGGCCTGGCAGTATGAGACGAAAGGAAATCAACAATTGAGTGAACAATACACAAGACATGTCTATAAAGGTGAAGTCACTGCTTTGTTTGCAAGTTGCAAAACTTCCGGAAACCATGCAGCGACACTACATATGTGGTCGTGAAATGAAGAGACATCACTAAGACTGCTAAAACCAAGCTTGAACTAACACTTTGAAGTGAAGGATGCTTCAAACTGAAACCCAATAGATAACTCAAGGCCTCAGTACTCTTGGCAGACTTCGTGATCTCTTCTGCAGCGGCCAAAGCTTCAGGGCAAGATTCGGTCAACTCCTTGGTGTCCTTTGGGCTCAAAACCTGCAACAAACATCAACACTTGGAGACCGGATTGAAACTTGACCATTTGGATAAAATTGGATTTGTTTTAAGAAAAATGGAAAGCCTGGACATGTTTTTATCTTTGTATGTAAACCCTTTTCTGATGTGCAAACAATGCACCTTGTTCCCTCGGGCTCGGTAGCGACAAGACCACGCTTCCCAGTAGTCTCTGGTCGACAACCAATTTGTTGCCTTCACCCCAAACCTGGCATAGGCCCACTCGCAATGGTCCATGTAGTCCACCAAGACCGGGCTCCTTACTTTTGGCTGGGAAAATTTTGTAGTGATAATATAATTCAAATACGGGCGCCACTGAACTGAAGAAAAGTCTCCATAAAAACAGGTTCAGCTGAACTAAAACCGATGCAACATATGTGAAACCAATTTCCTATCGTAAATACAAACTGAGGGGCTTCATGATGTCTGGGTGATTGGATCCAAAGTACTGCATGAGGGCCATGCACATCTCGACAATCTCGGAACGACGAGGCCCTGAGTTCCCAAACATGGGGGTTGTAAAAAACTCTTCATTCCATGACCCGGAAGTCTTGCGGTCAGGGGTGCTGATGCTGTGAACGCTGGAGCTGCCAGATTCAACATCAGTTTGAGCTGCTGCGGAGGGGCTGCGTGGGCTGTCCTCCATTGGGGATGGGGCTGGGTCTTCACCACGTCCGGGAAGAACCAATGTCTTTTCGCTATCAGACTCCCCATCGCATGACCCTGGCTGACTCTCCCCCATGTCCTGCGACCCCTCAACACCATTGTCACCCACATCCTGACTCTGGCTCTGGCCATCGTCATCATCATCATCACTCTGGTCATCACCCCCGACATCCTGACTATGGTCATGATTGTCATCCATGCTCTGAGTCTGGTCATCGTCGTCCACATCCTGGTCATCATGTTCATGGTCATCACTTTGTTCATTTTCATCCCCACCCTGACCATCATTGTCAGTTTCAGTGCTTGGCTCGTCATCCTGAACTGGTTCTTCTGGTTCGGCGGCTTTGGCCTCCACAGGAGTGAGTGACAAAATGAATGTTCTCGGGGTTTCACACGTTGCTACAATGATCATATATAGATAATATTGTAAATGGGGGTCGCAAAAACTGAATAGAAAACCTTGAAACGATAAATGCAAACCTAACTTTCGTGAATCAACTTGGTCCCAAAAACCTTCAAACGATGACTGCAAGCCAAAGAATGCGGTCCCAAAACGGAAGCCCGAAAACACAGCTTTAAATTGTGAAACGGGTTTTGGGGAAGCTTTCACCAAAAAAATGCGTTCCCAAAACGGAGCCCCAAAATACATTTTTTTAACCCAACAGGAAATTTACAAGCAAGCCTAGCCTCTGTGATTCAACTTGGTTCCAGAAACCTTGAAACTATGAATGCAAGCCTAACTTTCGTGAATCAACTTGGCCCCAATCCCCCTATGCCTTTGCCCTCGTGGGCGATGGTAGCAAAAAAGTCTTCATCTCAGTGATGCGAGGGTGACTGCCGTTGGCGCCTCGAAGCGTTGCTGAGCAAAAATGGTGGAAACATGTTGAACCAGATGGGTCAAAGATGGGGAAATCACATTCTCACAAACAAAACAATACATCAACAACTTTCTACTAAATTAGAACAAACTGCTTGTGCTCCTCCACAGAGCTCTCAATGCTCCGATACATAGTTTCACCTTCTTTGCCTCGTCCGTCGCTAAGGTCTCTTTACTGTCACCTGCGTCCTGGGGTATGAGCAATCGACCTTTGTAAATCTTGTCCATGTAAAGGAAGACATCTATGAGAAAGAACTGCGAAGGGATCTGCGACCGAAATTTCTTGACGACTGGACAAATCCAACAGTAGTTGAGCACAAGGTCGTCCGCCTTGGGTTTAGCTATGGTGTCTTCAAGCTGCACCAAAGGACCCCCCTGCCATGTAGGAGAATCCAAAACCTGGGCAACACTCAACGGCAGCTTCGCTTTGAGCTCGCAAGCCATAGATCTCACATCAGTGACATTCCAAGGTATCTTGCCAGGTCCTAAGGCGTGCTGGAACTTGTGAATAAGAAGCAATGGAGGTCAGAACCTGCAACCCCCAAACTATATCTATATTCTCAAAACTTAATTGTACGAACAACTTGGTGAAGATTTCCCTTCTTTTGCAATTCAACAGGAACCAAGGAAAATTTCCAAGAAAATTTTGGAACCTAGAAACTGACACTCTTCCAAACTTCCATAGCCATGGGCAAGGGGTCGCTCATGGTATATAGTCTGACCACAGTTTTCGAAAACCTATTGCCGAAATGGCTGCCAAACGGTTTGGATTGAAGTGGCGCATGCACACATGTCACATACGAACTGGGCACCTGGTGTTTTTTTTTTGAATGTTACAAGTTTGTGAAAGTGTCGGCTTGCCCCACCCGGATGGCAAGGGGGGTATGCACCTGGTCAGGCTCCGATTTGCGGCCTTCGCCAAAGAGCTCTCAGCAGCGGCCATTGGCCGTGGTCGAAAAAAAATGCGACGGGATTTCACACCGGTGTCAAATTGAATTGGAATGCCAGTACTGGAAACTAAAACATTTTGATTTGCTGAAACATGTTGATTTGCCAGGCGTCAAGTTTGATTTTACGGGCTTGGCAAAAATTCAGGGTGTTGATCCGGCAAAAACTAAGGGTTCCAATGCCAAAACTCCAAACCACCATTACGACCCAAATGGCTTCCAAGCGAAGCGAATGTCAGCTGTCAAACTGGGCGGTTTCTGTCACATCCCAAAAATCATATAATGTTGGTTTCTTTCATGGCGGTGCACCACCCCCAAACCATTTCCAATTTCAACTCCTCGAGAAATGGCGCTACGTGTTCCTTGCATGGGGAAGATCGAACCTGCAACTGAAACAGCAAATACTGTTTGGGGTTTTAGTATATGTATATATAGTACGTTAATCAATAACATGCAGTTCCTAACTTCACCCTCTTCTACCCCAAAATATATTGACACATACCACATTGGGAATCGGTTTCCACTTGATGTCCACTGCACGGTGTATAATCCGTACGCACACCATGGTCTTATAAGCCGCTGTTTGATTAGGTTCTATCTATTTAGTAAAAGTATGTGTATATATATATATACAATATACAATATATATATATATGTATAACTACCTTTTCACTCTTTTCTTCTCGACGTCAAAGAGTCACAGCAGCAGCCTTGCCTCCTGCCCAGTTTTGCATTCGTGCTTACACAATGCCTTGTGAGCTGCAAAAGAGCCAGTACGCATGGTCACGGCAGCAGCCTTGCCTCATAATCAGTTTTGCACTCATGTCAACACAGTGCCTTGTGAGCCGCATAAGAGCCAGCATGCATGGTCACGGCAGCAGCCTTGCCTCATTATCAGTTTTGCATGTCAACACAATGCCTTGTGAGCCCCATAAGAGCCAGCATGCATGGTCACGGCAGCAGCCATTCCTCCTGTTAATCAGTTGAGCATTCATGCCGCAACAGGGCATTGCTGTGATGGCATCAAGTGCCTTATGCGCAGCAAGAAGCCAGCATAAGACATATATGCTTAAGAAGCAGGATGCTCAAGCACAGGTTTTTACAAACAACACCGTTCGGCAACAGGTAACATGTAACGTTGCCAAAGCATAAAACGTTGCTCCAAGGACACCATTGGAGCGTCTAAGCAAATGTGAACAGTGGCACTTGAAAATGCATTTGCGTTGGATCGTAGGAATGTCAATGCATTCGTTGCCAGTTTCAAGAAGTCCTCGGGTTTCTCCAGAGACTCATATGGAAGTTGGTACACCTTGATGGATGAAAGACCCATGTTGTTAAGTCCAGCCTCGATGTCATTGACGATTCTCGAACTAGATCTCGTTTGGTAAGTCAAATCCGTCAAGATGAGAGCTTTGTTGTTTCTCACTTGTCCTCCCAATTCATCCCATTTGTCTAACCAAGGCTCCCCGATGATGAACTGTCCAATCTTGTTTCCCAATTTCTTGAGCTTGGCTCGAATCTCGCCCTCCACGGTCTCTTCAATGCCCAATGTCAACATGGCTAGGACCTCCGTCACTGGATATCCCTTGCACCTGACAAACTCTGTGGTCGTGATGATGTAGTGGTAGAGCTTAAGCCATTCGTAGTCATTCTCATTAATCATGTGGGAATCAAGTTGACCTTCTGTCAGCATGTTGAATGACAAGGCAGCATGAAATGTCAATCTTCTCAAATACTGTTTCCAGATCAAGTTGGATCCATACTTGTGAGTGGTGTGAGGGCCCTCTACGATTGAAAGTACAAAATCCTTGCCAGAGCGTAGGAATGCAATTCGCTGTTCCTCACGAGCATAGTCCTCGGCAGCATGGAGTCGCACTTCCACGGTTGAAGGTTTCCTTCTCTTCATCCAGTCTTCAGTTGGAATCCAATCCTTATCTCTTTCTGGTTCAGCATGACCTTGAGATGTTGCTCCGGGTCCAGATCGGAAAGCTGCATGGGTCGACGAAGACGAGGCTCCGCCAGTCGATGATCTTGGCATCTTCTTCGGTTGTACGCTTGAACTTGATGATTGTTGTGATGCCTTTGGCTGTGATCCCTCCGTAGGAGCGGATGTACTCTGGGCACTGGGTCCAGTTGATGTGTCATCATTCACCCATGAAGGCTCCTCATTGTTCCAGAAGTCAACTTCGTCGGGTCTTCGTCCATCTTTGAAGTTCAGGGGGATGTCCCAGTCATCGAAATTGTGCATGTTGCCACCTGTTCCAGCTTGAGTATCGGTCAATGATGTTGTAAAATCTTTGAGGGAACTATGGCAAGCATGACGTTTCTCTTTCTCGGTATATCTGGCCCCTTCATCGGCAATTGAGACGTTGTATCCATGCCCAATCAGGATTCCCAAAGGAATGTCAAAGGCCTTGAGGATCGAGAACTGTAGTTCGGACAATTCTGCTACTCTTGGCAAGTTTCCATCTCCTCGGGCGCTGGTCTTGTGTCTCTCAAGTGTCGTGCCGAGGGCTAACAAACACAAGAAATGGTTCTGGGCTGCACTCCTCCCTTTCGGCTGATTGGTTTCAAAAGCAATTACATCCTTCATCACATCCTGCAAGATGATCTGATCTGATGGGTTCTGCTCATTGTGATACCTCAGTGCATGTCCTAGGTGCCTCATCTGGACTTCAATCATGTGCTTCATTGCTTTTCGATAGCTGTCATTGTCAGATGGAGACTTCGGATTTACCTTGGTCAACTCGTCCATGACTTTGAAGTACTCGGCTGTCCTTGTCACAGCTAACCATGATGTGGCACTCGGATCTGTGTTGAATGATGGTGTTCCTCGATAGATTTGCTTCATGCTTCGGATCTTCGCCTCAGTTTCGGCTGCAGTGGCTTGATCATCAAAAGGTTCGGGAAAATGTCCTTTGGACAATACGATCCAAAGCTCATCGAGTCTGTCATAGATCTCCTTGTCCATGAAGCGTCCCACAGTCGCATCTTCGAATGGGCATCTGCTTGCAAAGACTTTCACGAATCTCGATCCCTTTGACAAAAACTCCCATCCTGAACACCCCTTCTCGATGTCCTGCGCTCTCTGCAACAACTTGTAGGCTACCTCCAGGGCTTGTGCAGTGGCTTCACTGGTGTGTCTGGAGTTTGCAAAGTATGCTGAGTAGACAACTGCAGGCGGCATACCAAACCTAATCCACTGGTTGGCTGTGTCCTCATCTGAGATCAGTCGAAAATTCGAACCTCGGG